TGATAAGCAGCTGTTTTTTTACGGAGACACTGCTGCCTTTCCTGCCGGGATAGTGCCAGAAAAAGTGATTGTCTTTTATTGAAATATTGCTGTATTTTGAACCTGATGCCACATTTCCTGCCAGGATAGTGCCACAAATAGCCATTGTTTTACACCAAGACATTGCTGCATTTCCTGCCGGCATAGGGCAACAGAAAGCAATATTTTATTTTATTTTTCTTTTTACCAAGACATTGCAGCGTTTCCTGCCGGGATAATGCCACAAAAAAGTGGTTGTTTTTACCGAAACATGGCTACATTTCCTGCCAGATAGTGCCACAAATAGCCATTGTTTTCACAAAGATATCACTGCATTTCCTGCCGGCATAGGGCAGCGAAAAGCAGTCGTTTTTTTTACCAAGACATTGCTGTGTTTCCTGCTGGGATAGTGCTAAGAAAAGTGGTTGTTTTTCACTGAGACATCACCGTGTTTTCTGTCAGGATTAAGCTCAAATTTTAAGCCAAAACATGATATTTTCCTAACCATAACCAAGTGTTCCTTGTGCCTAATAATAACCACATTTTAACCACAGCATTGTGCAAACGTTTAAAAAAAACATACTCACATACAAATGTAACATATCTGTGGTTTGCAGAGACATAAAATGCCAACATTTACTCTAGTAACTGGGTTGTCTTGGAGGTCAGTCACACATGCATATTAGCACAGGGGAAAAAATAAATAGATAAATAGGGAAAAATGAAATTCAGATAACATAAAATAAAATAAGTAAATATTTGTTCTCAGAGCATTGCTATTGCAGTAGTCTTGCACATAGGATAGGGAAGTCTGGTACATGTGTCTCCATTGGTCATCTGACATTGTAATCCCGAGTTCTTGTTGCCAGATGGCCTGTAGGGAGTCTGAACAAGTTGGGTTTACCTTGAAAATGTGATTGAATGAGCCCCTCATAGCCAACGTTTCTAAAGCGATATAGTTCTGATTACATGAATGCAAGATGGCTGCCAGGCTGATGACCACTGTTCAAGGCCAACAAATGACAAAAGCAGGTGTTTTTAGTGAGATATTGGCAGCATCTCCAGCTACAATTGTGCCACCAAAACTGGGTACTTTAAGCCTAAACATGATATTTAACGAACTACACTTTAACCAAAGTGTCGTTGCAACGCTAAGAAAGGTTTCAACATATTCCTACAGAATGACGAAAGTATGTAACCATGAATGTGTCCATGGTTTTCAGAAACATACAATGGATTCATTCTAGTATCTATTCCAGAGACTGGGTTGATTAACTGATAGAAAAGAGTCAATCACAGAATATGGAGGGCGGTTGGGAAATTGGGGGAATTGATTTTGTACAAAGTGCCTAATCTGGAAGGAGTGAAACGAGTACTTAGAGGGGGCAGATGTGCATCGGGAGCCAGACGTCCGCTCATCAGTGATCGGCAATTTGATCCCCGGCTCCTTAAGTCTGCATGTCGGAGTATCATTGGGCAAGACACTGAACCTCAAATAGTGTCAGTGCAATTGATGATGATGAGCAGGTGGCACCTTGTATGGTGGTGTTGGCCAACAGTGAATGAATGGGCGTGTGTGTGTGTGTGTGTGTGTGTGTGTGTGTGTGTGTGACATGCAGTGTACAAGTGAGTATTGGGATGACTAGAAATTTACCATCCAAGCCCATCTGGCATCAGATGTCAATATGACGTCAGAAAGACCTTGGACTCTTACAATGGACAGAAATTAAATTTTGGATGGACTGAAAATTGGATTGACGATTTTTGAAATGTCTAATGATGTTAGATTTTCACATTGTGTGGATGTTAATATTACGTTTTGCAGATGTTGGGTGTTAGTATGTATTTTTACATCTCCACTGACCAGTGGATACTTGGTCAAGTCCCTGGGGATCATGTTCCGTTGACAGACATCAGAAGTGCTAGGCTTTCTGATGAATGGACAAGTTAAATGTGTCAAGGCACCATTTTAGGTAATAGTATACATGCCACCATCCTATATAAGCTGCGTCTCTCTCTCTTCACAATCATCACATAGCTTCTGCATGTAGCCATGTTGATCCGAGCTCGTAATTAAATGTGCATTACGAAAGAACTCCGTGATCGGCATCATCCTTGAATTCTCCAGATCACCATAGAAACGCCTACTCTCATTGGGTTTTGTTCTCGATAACTTACGACTTGCTATCTAGATGACTTGGTATTCTACATAAAGGTGACATTGGCATGAGACGTTTGTAAGATGTTTTATTTCGGTAACAACACACCTTAAAAACCAACAAAATATCAATATCATCTGTCGTCACTATCTGACATCAAATTGACGTTGCCATTAGACGTAGCCTTGAGATTGAAATTTGGTTTAGCAATGTTGGTGGCCAGCAGGGACAACCTGTTTCACTCTGAAGTCATTGAAATTGCGGTGCTTGGGCAGTAACTTGTGCCATCAGACGCTGACGAAATAAGCCGTTCTTAAACGTTGATATGATACGCAGCTGGTCGCCATTATAGTTCAATGGTGCTCGACAGCATCAGGGGGAAAAGCAGTGGGACAAGAATGAAAGTTAAGGTAATGAAAGTCGGAGCTGTGGTGGTGGATGGGTCCAACAAACACCAGCTTTTACCTGGGAGAGCGGTGTTCGCGTCCCGTAAGATTATAAACCCAACCACGAGCGTTAGTTGTTGAAGATTCATGGTGTTGTACTGACTTAGTGCTTTTATTTTGAAAGAGACTGTATGTAAACGGTAAAGTTCCTGTGAAAACAGGAGTGTATTTTGAAAGACGATGCAGGGCGTCCCAGAACATCAGCAACCAACGTACCCAGGGTACCTTTCACGTCATATGTAGACCTAGAAGCTCCATGACCAAACATCTGGGCCCACACCTTTTAATTTGGTCGTTATTATTGTTTCATGCTGTCCTGTCTGTCTGTTACCATGGCGATATATTCCTTTTAGTCTCAGCGCACCCTGCTTGATTAATTACAAATAAAGACAGTAATTATTTTAGCCCTGACTCAGTTTGATGAACCAATTAACCTCTATACTTTTATTAAATTATTCATACCTTGCTCTTTTGTTTATTCTGTTAATTTCATTTCCCGTAAATTCTATTAATGTGTCTTTTTATATTGTGTTGCGTTTCTCAAACATCTTAATTGAGCAAGTGCAAAACTATTAGATTAGACTGTTGTCTGTCAGGTATACTGAGGAGGCAACACATTCAGATGATTGTAAAATAACTATATAGGCTATTTACCATCCATCTAACAGTGAACACAGAGCACACATACCCACAGTAGCACAGTATAATTATGTTTTTGTTTTTTATTGTGTAACCTTTTCAATACCACTATCCTGATTGTGGTCAACTTAATAAAAACTCAACCTCAAATTATTTTATTTTAAATTCTATTGGAGTTTCCAAAATGCCAATTAATTTTGTTTTTAGAAAACTAAAATGCTGAACAACACAACTGAAATATTTCAATTAACGGACTGGTGCTGCCATATAAACATGAAATTGGGTTTGATTATTTCACTCACATTGCAAACTAAATTAAACTCGCCAAGGGACTGCAGTTTTAGTAGAGCTCTTTGTTTATCTACTTTTTCATGCTGTCTAATGACCATAAACTTGAACATTACCCTGAAGCCTGCAGCTCTTTATGTTGAAGGCAGAACTACAGATGAGTGCGACATAATACGAAACAGGCTATGGTTTTATTAATGGGTCCTAAGAGAAGTGTAGGTCTATTAAAATATTTTATTGAATATATTACACTGTCTAAGTCAGCCTCACAGTAAAAGGGTTGTGGTTTGAACCGAGCTTGGGGCCCTTTTGTGTGGAGTTTGCATGTTATGGTCCCAAAATTTGGACTGCACCGTATTCTGACCTTTATGGTAATTGCATTTAAACGGCCCAGAGCGAACTATTATTCTATAATTTTATATCTTTGGAAAGGCAAGTGAATACCTGAAGATGACATCTGAAATCTTTATTAAAAACACGCCACATAGGCCCACAATATACTATATGACATTGCTTCGGACTTGACAAAGCTAGCGCAAGGATTTACGACTACTTCCGGTTTTCAAAATGAGACGTTGACACCATATAAAATACCAAGCACTTACAGTATATGGAAATAAGTTTAATCAGATGTATTCACAAGATGAGTAAAACATAGTCCCTGTAAATAAAATAAAATAAAATAAAATACAATAAACTTAATTAATAAAATTAAATTAAAATGTGAGGGATATTTTTCTATTTCAGGTTGCTGGGAAAAATAAATGTATAAATAAATAAATAACTCCTGAAAACAACTAATACATTTCAGGTCAGGAAAGCTCCGACTACATGCAGACTGAAAATCCAGCAGTTATACTATATGAAGTTTAGAAATTTTTCTAAACTAAAAGTACCACATTTGTACCTTGAAATGGCTTCCTTTTTTGGAATTTTAGGTGCTTTAAAAAATATGTATAATAGGCTTTTTTGTCTCACTTGGATGTGGGATGACCGCATCTGTTGTCCGTTAAGAAGGATGAAGTGGGTGTACTGTCCTTCGCTTTTTGGCTGATAGGTGGGTATGCTGTAAATGACCAGAAAAAATACATATTAACTGTCAGTCATGGATGTGCTGTCACCATAGGTGTATAATAAAAATAGCTGTGGGCGGTCACTGAGCCATAACTTTGAGAAACAGGCCTTTAAAGTAAGCAGTACGGTGGCCGCGAAGATTAACTACAGAGCGTTCCCGTTGTGAACTGGGAGCGCTTGTTGTATTACAGGGGCTGTCCCGGAGTGAAAACTACACAGAAGAGCTAATAGGACCATTTTCCGTTGTAGCCGACAAGGTGTTCAAAACAAGCCAACCCAACAACAGGGCGCGGGCCGGAAGACGGCAGAACGTTGAACTGCAGTACATTAGGTGAACGAAGCTAGCATTAGCATACAGAGCTAGCGATGGACTTTACACGACGATATTCACAACTTGGATGAATTTTATGAACTCTCTTTTAATTATTTTTATCTGTGGACTCTTACAGACTAAAGGAATATAAAATATGGAGGAATGGACACACATTCCGGCGTTGGGACCGCTTCAGAGGTAGGGAGTCACCATTTTGTCACGTCTGTCTTGTCTTGTTAACTGTAGGTGTTTCCCTACAGTTAACAATGTGTGTACCGGTAAAAGAATCTTTGGTGCCCATGGTTTCAGTAAATTTAATACAACGGTTGAATTAAGGAGCTGAGGACGTTTAGCATATCCACATTAAAATTTAACAGTTAATACTCATAGTTAGCTGCGTCATGCTAAGCCAAGGTCACTGTGTAAGTGAGAACCACTGTTCATTGCTAGCTTGTCATGGTGCCTTTAAGCTTCAAAATAATATCTATCATCTGAATTTAGTTCATATTCTGACTCATATATCACAAACTACATTTACTGTGTAGTTTTCGTTGTGAATAAAACTTGTTTGTTCCATAAGCAGTTCAAAACACTCACAGTGCACTTAGTGCCGTTATGTATTTGATATATAATTTGTGTTAACGTTTTATTTTGAAAACGGAAGTGGTTACGTGTGTTCTCGCGGTAACTTGGCTAAGTTCAACGCAGTTTGATAAATTGTTTGAGGCTTGCTCACATCACGTAGAATTAAGATTTAATGGGTGCTGTTTAAGCAAAGCTTGGATACCGTAACACTTTGTAAACTGAGGAAATTAGAGATTAAAGTGTGTAACCCTGGTCGTCAGCTCGCTCGGGGCCGTTTCAATGCGTTTACCTTAAAGGTCGGAGTACTGGTGCACTCTCAATCTAGACGCGGCTGGTTTAACCATGAAGTTACCAGTGATTGATATTTCGGCTATCATGCAAAATTATGTTTTTCACCGAGATAATGTGTGTGTTCAAATACTCTGCATGTAGCCTTACAGAGACATGTCAGGATGGCCGAGCGGTCTAAGGCGCTGCGTTCAGGTCGCAGTCTCCCCTGGAGGCGTGGGTTCGAATCCCACTTCTGACAATAACCTTTTGAGGAAGTTCCATGTGTAGAAAACTCTCATCAATGATCACAATAGTGACATGATTAACAAATATGCACTTTACACAGCGATTTCGAACTGAAAGTAGTGTGTTTGTGTATTAAAATAACTATCTGAGGCTTCTATTTTTAAGGAATACCCTTAACCTTTGACTGTAATGTGATTGTTGCAGCTTGAAATAGATATTTGTCACTGTGCCCTCAGCACATGTAGGCTGTTGAACACATGCTGTAAACAAATAAGATTATTTCTACCTTATGAATTCATGAATATGCACAAAGTAAAATAAAGAAATACCTCCTCAAGTCAATAATGGAGGTAAGAGGTTCACATTTTAAATAAAAATATATATTTAAAACATTTTCAAATGAGAATCACAGGCTGCTGACCATCACCTATATATATATATATATATATATATATATATATATGTATGTATATATGTATATATATTTGAATTTATTAATTATTAATATATTTCAATTTAAACACAATAAAAGGCGTACATTTTTGTATTTTTGTATTTTACCAATTAAGTAAACTGTTTGATTCAATTGTCTGTATTATTTCCTGACTATGAAGATCTAAAGCATTTAGATTCAAATGTTTTAATTTTTTATTCCACAGTTAGAAATATAAATTCCAGTGGGAATTGCTGAATCTGACTTTAACAGGCTATAATAGCCTTAACAGGCTATCATACATGTCATTTAAAATATAAATTTACACTTCTACAACTTTGTCAAACAAAAATCACAGGCTACTGACAACCAGGGCCGTGGCCAGGATTTTAGAAACAGTCAAGAGTTTAGGTCCCCCCGCCCCATCTTAAATATTTGAATTTTTCATATTTTATTAATTGAGTAATTCTGGTGTGAAATACTGAATCCATATTTTTTCTTTATTTTAATATCTATTTACAATATGTTAAAAACTATTTATTAAGATGTTTATATACTGCATGAACATGCTACACAGGAAGACTTACACCATAAAGAGTTGTCAATAGTTTTTAGTTGTAGGTTGTGAACTTCCAACAGGCTAAATACCCCAGAAGGAGAAAAATAGTTAGCTCATAATGTCAGTGTCAGTCTTGCTGACAATATTTGTGCTTGTTTTTTGGCCATTTACATTTTAAAGAAGAAAATGACTGTATTATAAGATGATACTGGGGCAATATTAATTTTTTAAAGCATGTACATGCCATGATGTCAAAAAAACAATACCTTACAGAGAAGATTATATTATATTGCATTTCTCAAAATGTTCTGGAGTTTGTATCTCCAACTGTTGTGCACATTTTTGTTTGACAGACATGCATGACATTAATTTAAAAAAAAAAAAAAAATTGAAACAAAACTGAAGTGTCATAAAGGCCAAAGGTTCTCTGAAACCCAGTGCCAGCCTTGTGAAGTCTTTGTGTGTGTCATAAATAAATGCTGCTAGCTTTCCAACCTGTCTCTATTTAATCAGAATTTAATGACCCAGTTTTAATGAGGATGGAGTTTTCTGACAATGTCGCCCGCTGCAAGAAACACCAGACAACGGCTAATGTTAAGTGACAATTTCACCTTTATTAACATGGTGAAGAATCATTAGTAAAGGTCGGGGTGACAGGCTGGAGGAGGTTTTGGTGCTCAGGTGGTGCCTGTAAAGAGAGCAACACACTGAGAGAGAAAAGACTCATTAAATCACAAGGACGTCACAGCGGCTTTTTATCCTTCAGCTGAGCGGGCCGTCCATGTGCACGGTGAAGGTGATTTTGAATGAGGGCTTTTTTGTTATTTTAGATTTCCTATTTTCACCCAGAAATGATCAAAAATAGTTATTGTCCCATGTTTGGATTACAACAAAAAAAATCCTACGGCCAGTATCAGTATTCATCATTTAGATTAACAAGTTAAAAAGCAGCTATTCAAGGCTGCTATTAAACATTAGCATGTTTCAACTTCTGACTTTTAGAGAGATAACCCAAACCACCATGTGCACATATTCATTCATGACATGTTCGTTTATTACAATAACCATTAGTAGGGATGCACCGAAATGAAAATTTGTGGCCGAAGCCGAATAATATTAAACGCTTGGCCGAATACCGAATATCGTTGTTTAGTTTTTCATTAGTTTNAAATGAAAATTTGTGGCCGAAGCCGAATAATATTAAACGCTTGGCCGAATACCGAATATCGTTGTTTAGTTTTTCATTAGTTTTTGCAGATGAACCCCCTCCAGATTAGTGTTGTCATGGTACCAAAATTGGGGCCCACTGTACGATACCAATATATCATGGTTCTGAGTAGTATCACGATACCACAGCGAAAATGAGGCATATGTGCCTTTTCTCATTTATAAAAAGATAAATCACTTTTCTATTATAGGCTACATCAATGATATTTCAATGGAATAAATTACTTATTGACTTATTCATACTTCAAAAACAGCATCAATAAGTGATTAACATAGGGGGGATCAAAATAAAATAAAATAAATAAAATAAGAATCAACCAGCCACCCTCCTCCCCTGACAAGTCCCTTCATAAATAAAGAACAGTCCCTAAAGTGCGGTGAGGTCTGTGGGCCGTGAACCTGTGGACCTGTGTTCAGCTGGCTCGGCTGTTCAGGCACTTCTGGGCAGTCATGACGCCAAGAAGAGGATATTATTGGAGCCGACTTCTCCGTCGCTGGTAAGCCGATGGCCGCCGTATTTGACAGGAATACATTGACGTTACTGTCTGTGTCTGTGACCCCCGTTCAACCTACAATTGGTGGGATTCGCCTTTAGTTTCTGCTGCTAGGTGAAATCTGTAGGCTGCTCGCACAGCGTGCTGAATGATTTAAGCCTATTTTGCTCGCTCAAAACTATTTTTAGTCGCAAATGCGAGTGCCGTGACGGATGGATCGCCACACTGCCGTCATTTTACTCCGCCCGTCACGGCACGCCGTTTGATTGCGTTATCAAAACACGCTGCTATTATTCAGCCTTGCTTTTAACTTATTCCACCGAATACCGAATGTGTGTTTTTTTTTGCAATATTTGCCCAAATATATTCGGTTACCGAATATTCGGTGCATCCCTGAACATTAGCACTGATACAGTCCTACTGCTGTGAACACTTCCTAGAGAGCCAAATGAGTATTAATCCACAGCTGAAAATAGTCCCCAACAAATGCACCATTTCCTCCAGTCTGAGTTATGTTTAAAAAAAGCTACAGTGCCCAGCTGCTTTGGGAAATTACTGAGCCTGTTTAAAACATGAAATTACACTTGTGAGCTATTTCTAAATATTACATCATATGTAGGAACCAATGGGCAAGCACTTTTTTTCCAGGGGATTTGTTGACAGTAAAAATTATATGTAAAAATCCTATCATTTAAGATACTGCTCTCCATTTGACCTCTTGTTTGTCCTGTGTGGATCAAAGCACCAAGCCAGCTAAATCACCCGCTCGTAGCACTTAACCCTGACCAGACTCACTGGGTACTCATAGAAGTAAACTCCTGGAAGGCAGGTGAATAAATAAATAAAACACTAAGTTAAAGTTTTTAATTATTCATAGTGGAGGAATGTGTATCATCAGCATCATCACTGCCACCGTCATTTCCTGATTTATCACCCTGAATGGGGTTCCCATGGCAGGTCTGATGTTTCAGAGGTCATGAACTCTGAGCACAGATGCTAATAAAAGGATTAAAAGCAGCTTTGCCTTTGCTCCGGCTGCTTGAGTGACACTGATCTTGCTGTAAAGAGACAGTGTCATCCCTTTGAGACCACATGCATGGACAGAGGCTACATTTTCCTCTTTTCACTGAATTGAAAGGGGGGAAAGGTTCAAACAACTAGTCCTCTAACTTCATTGTATAATCAGAAGCAACAATTCAACAAATAGTATCAAGATCTACTTAACAATTACAACTTTTAGTTATCAAAAATAAATAAAAACTCTCTTATTAGGCTATAAATCCACATAAGGGACTGTTCAGTATTTATAAGAGGGAGTGAGGTGGTGTAAAACAGGGAAGGCACTTCAAATAATTTTTTAAGCACTAGGGAGGAGTTATGTTTTTTGATTTGGCTTAGGGGGAACTCTTAAACTCACAAGTGGGTGTGAAAGGCACAATTTCTTTAAATAATGACTAAAATGGGGCGTCGGTGGCTTAGCGGTAGAGCAAGCGCCCCATGTACAAGGCTGTTGCCGCAGCGGCCTGGGTTCAACTCCAGCCTGTGGCCCTTTGCTGCATGTTACTCCCTCTCTCTCTCTCTCTCTCCCCCTTTCACACTTGTCTGTCCTATCATATAAAGGCTAAAAAATGCCCCAAAAATAGCTTTAAAAATAATAATGACTAAAATGACACCGTTTACCACAGCAAGAAACTGTGAAAACAGAAGTAATGGTCAGATTTTCTCATTTCTGACAGTCCTTGAACACATCATGGGCGAATAAATCTTTGCTTCAGAAATTATCTGTTTGTTTTGGTGATCACTTCCTCCATGGTGTTTCCACACTGCTTGGCGAAGTAAATAAAACTAAAAGGTCAGACCCCAGCCACCCCCTTCTCTGACAAGTGAAGTACAGTTCCTTAGACTGTGATGATTAAGATGGTCCTAAGGTCTGTGTAAGGAAAACGTTCCTCTTTTGAAATCGAGGCAGTGGGGGAGGGTTTAAACACAAATTCCCACTTGCTTCCTCGAAATAAGACGACTGCTGCTCAGACAGAAAGCAGGTTTTTGTTTGTGCAGCGTAATTTAGTTTATTGTACCAAGGTGCCTAAAGAGGGTGCAGACAGCAGAATGTGGGTGCAAGGTGAGGGGAGTGCAGTGGCAGGTAAGACTTGGTAATGTGGATTTAGTCAGACGATGACCCTTGCAGATTTCTCCATATCTAAATAAGTGTGTGTTTTTATTGTGGACTCAAGGGGGTTTTAGTTCAGAAGAAGTTTTTAACTCAGTATTTTGTTAATATTGGGGTTTCAGTGAATGAAAAAGTTCAAGATCAGCCTTTCGGAGTTTTTTAAGGGACATTCTTACAGTCTCCTAGAAGTCACTCTTTGATTTACGACATTTAAAACCAAAACAGTGTTTGAATAAAATTTCAGCTGGAACAAATTACTGCCTCATTACAGTTAAATCAAAAGGTAACTATTTTGGAGGAAAATGCCTCTCCCACTTGTTTATGTTAAATATGTAGCCAGCAGCTGGTTAGCATCAGTTAGCATAAAGACTGGGGTTTACATGCAGGACAATTACTTCGCCTTCCAAGAAATATTCTTACACATAACCCCACGTAAAAACTACAAACTGATTCAACTCAGCCTAAGTTTTAGAGGTGCTGGTAGGTGTATTTTGTTAACTTTGGGCAGAGCCAGGCTAGCTGTTTCCCTGTTTCTAGCCTTCATGCTAAGCTGGGCTAAATGCCTGCTAGCTCAGGCTTTATAAGTAAAGCAACAGTTTTACATTTTGGGAAGTACACACCTTTATCTTCTTGTTAATAAAAGATCTTTTCCACTCTTATATCTGTCTCGTAGCTTAGCACAGTTACTGGAAACGGGGGAAACAGTGAGCCAGGCTATGAATGAAGGTAAATAATGACTCACACAGCACCTGTAAAGCTCAATAAATAACATCTTGTTTGTTGAATCCCAACCCAGTCACCAAATGTTGGTACTGCACATGTCTGCAAACCACAGCTATGTAATAATTGTACATTGTTATGCAGCGATATGTTGAAACCTGACATCTATACAACACTGTGGATAACATGGTTATATTTAGACACAAAAAACACTTGGTTATGGTTGGGAAAAGATCATGTTCTGGCTTGAAATACCTGTTTTTGGTGGCACAATCATAGCTAGAAATGTCGCTGATGTCTCACTAAAAAACAACCACTTTTGTTGCATGATCACAGCTGGAAATGCTGCTGATGTCTCGCTGAAAAATCAACCGGATTTGGAGGCACAATCACACCTGGAAATGCTGATGAAGTCTAGCTAAAAAAACAACCGCTCTTGTGGCACAATCACGCCTGGAAATACTGCCGATGTCTTGCCATAATACAGATGCTTTTGGTGGCACAGTCAGAGCTGAAAATGCCGCCAATGTGTTGCTAATAACAACTGTTTTTGTTGTTTGTTGGTATCAATCAATTGTCTGCAGTGGCCATCCACCACTCCCTCCAACTCCTAATGACAAAGTCAGCTCAGCGTCATTTCAGAAACATTGGTATAATATGTATGAAACGTATCCATGGTTTTTCAACATCTAGTGGTGATTGGGCTGTAAATCCGCACAAAAACAGTGTGCAGTGTAAAGATTATGGGGTTTATCCTGGACATGGCCTGGAAACAGCCTGGCTGCATATGGATATGGTATCAATGTTCTCATATAACTCAGCAAGAAAGCAGATTTCCCAAAATGTGAAACTGTTGCTTCGAGAACTCAAAACTCTCAGTTCATTGAACAAAGTGAAGTATCAAGTGGAAGCTCCTGTGAGTCAGAGGCCGCAGAAAGTGAAACACGATTTTAGGATCCCCCTGTGATTTCACTTCCTGTATTTCTATCTGAACCCCCCTCCAGACGGCCTTGTGAAGTTCCTCTTGCTGTCACGTTGACAGGATGCAAGGATCTTTTTATTATCTCGCCCTCTCTGTTCCCTGACAGTCTGTCTGTTGTGTGACGATAAGATGATTTTCTTTTCCCCACAGAGTCTGAAGGAGAGAGCAGTTTATCTTCCGAAAATGAGGGAGACATTCAGGTATTACTGTCAGTGACAGGCGGTAAATTACTGGTTAATTAATGTTGCTTTCTGATGTGCAACGAACACAAACATCATGGGAGGAAGCACAAGCAGATGTATTGTTACCTTGCAGAAAGTTTAATGACTTGGTAACAAAACAGAGATGTCGCACAGTTTGGAGAGGCTTCCTCTGGATAAAAATGTTTGATCAGAGAAAACATTATTTTGTTTTCACAGCTCACATTTTAAAATAAAACATCTAAAATGAAAAAACAGAAAATTGCAGAATTAAAAAGGCTCTAAAACAAAATTTGATAATATCAACAAGGACAATTTCAGCACCACAACTGTCTCATAATAGAATAAAATGTGAAAAAATCAAATACATCAATTTGTTGTGATCTCTGTCTCATGTTTGGCTTTTTTATGTTCGATTGTTAGTGTGAGATCCTGGAAATGCAGAGGGATGAAGCCAATCAGAGACTGTCTGAACTGGAGGAAGGTGAGAATCATTTATTCCTTTTCTTTACCTATTTGTCCTCACTCAGCACCATAATGGGGGTGGAGACTATCCCAGTATGCTTCACACTCAGATACACATTTATATGGACAATAAAGTCTCCAGTGCAAAGGGAATGAATGGAGGATAAAACAAAGTTTCAGGTTGATTCAGTGTGATGTAGTTCAGATCGAGATGACCACGACTAACAGCTCCCCTCCTCTCATCTCCAGCCTCCTCTCAGCTCCTGAAAGAGATAAATGTACTGGAGATGCAGTTCCAGATTGAGAGCTCCTGCAGGGAGAGTGCTGAGGCGCTGGCTGTCAGAGTATGTCTCCTTAACAGTGTTAGTCCTTTCTGTTTCCATGTTATATCCTTTTATGTCTCCTTTCATTTCCTGCCTTGTGTCTTTTCCTTTCTTTTCTTTTCCTTTCCTGTGCTCTTTCTTGCCCCCTTTTTCCTATGCTATTTTTTGTCCTTTCCTTTCCTTTCCTTTCCTTTCCTTTCCTTTCCTTTCTTGTCCTGTCCTGTCCTGTCCTGTGCCCTGTCCTGCCATTCACTTCCCTGTGTCCTTTCCTGTCCTGTCCTGTCCTGTCCTGCAATTTCCTTTCCTTTCCTTTCCTTTCCTTTCCTTTCCTTTCCTTTCCTTTGCTCTCCTCTCCTCTCCTCTCCTCTCTTCTGCCATTTCCTTCCTTGTGTCCTTTTCTTCCTTGTGTCCTTTCCTTCCTTGTGTCCTTTCCTTTCCTTTCCTTTCCTTTCCTTTCCTTTCCTCTCCTCTTTTCTGCCATTTCCTTTCCTGTGTCCTTTCCTTCCCTATGTCCTCTCCTTTTCCCTTTCTTTCCCTTTCATTCCATATGTCCTTTCCTTTCCTTTCCTCTCCTCTTTTCTGCCATTTCCTTCCCTGTGTCCTTTCCTTCCCTATATCCTCTCCTTTTCCCTTTCTTTCCCTTTCATTCCATATGTCCTTTCCTTTCCTATCCTTTCCTTTCCTTTCCTTTCCTATCCTTTCCTTTCCTTTCCTTTCCTTTCCTTTCCTATCCTTTCCTTTCCTTTCCTTTCCTTCCATAATATGTCCTTTCCGTTCCTTTATCCCGTTCTTTTCTTTACCTGTGCCCTTTCCTGCCATTTCCTAATCTATGCCCATTCTTTTTCCTTGTCATTACTTTACTTTCCTGTCATTTGCCATGATCTTTTCTTTGCTTCCTTTAATTTCCTACGTCCTTTATTTTGTGTTGTTTCCTTTCTTCTCTTGTCCCCCTGCCCCTCCCTATGTCTCTTTTCATTCCTCTACCTCTTTATGTCTTTTCGTGTCAAGAGACTCGAGTAAGAAACGGCTTCACTCTAACCTTTTTCGTTTTCATACCAACAGATTAAAATTAAACTATCACAAACCTCCAGGCTCACTGGTTGTCTCCCCTGTTGCCTAGGTGACCAAAGAGAACAAAGCCTTAAAGAGGACGAGCCAGATGCTGATGCCGCTCATCCCCGAGCTGCCTGAAAACTTGGCTGCCATGACCTTTGACCCAGAGGCTGACCCCGTGGTTAACGGCGAGGACGTGGTCAATCTCGGTGAGGACGGCGATGAGGAGATGCTGCTGCTGCAGAATCAAGCCAAGATCGCAGGTTAGACAACAGTGCTCGTGGTGTGAATTTAGAATTAGGGGGATAAGTGGCGTTTTATATTGTCTGTCTGATAGAAGTCGAAAACTACAGATAACAGTTAGGAGTATATATAAGAAGGAACATATGAAGCAATAAAAAATAAGAGGCACTTCAGCTTCTTTTGTACCCGATAATAATGAAAAAACATCACCCATTCAGCCAGTTAGTCAAAGAACCAAGCTAATTAATTGCAGTTAAGTCGTATTATATTTATAAAGGGATTTAGTCACACTGTGTTACCAGTGTAAACCTTTAATGGAAACATTTAAAATATAAAACGTGTTTTTCCTCAACATTTTTCGGTTTTCTAAAATCATGCCTCATCAGACCAGCATCATAGGCAAACTGGACTCAAATTAAGGAAGTGGATTAATTTTGGGAATTCAATGCTTGTTGTCGACGTCTATAATGTGTCATAAACCTGTTTGTGTGTGTGTGTGTGTGTGTGTGTGTGTGTGTGTGTGTGTGTGTGTGTCAGAGCTGCAGGCGTCAGTGGACGGTCTGCTGGCTGAGAAGCTGCGGCTGGAGCAACAAGTGGAGGATCTGACAAAAGAGCAAGTCCAACTCAGAGAGCAGGTACATCAGTGTGTGTGTGTGTGTGTGTGTGTGTGTGTGGTTGTTTACATCACACCACAGAGCAGATCACTGAAACACTGTCACACATGTTGAATAGCTGCTGTGCTTACAAAGGAATGACAGAGTATTGGACCTTTTAACAAATATCAAACCTTTAACACCTTCAGTGAGAATGTACAAACATTCCTGTGTCAAACCTTCTGTGTTTCATCTCTAATAGTAACCCAGGTGCCTTTCACATCTGTCTGCCAGTACACCAGATGTTGACGTGGTTAATGAAGAGTCCAAAGAGGTGTTTGTTTTAGGGGTAGCCTGCGGTTTTAAATTATTCATTAAATACCTACCACTTCTTAATACCCTCTCAGAGCTGGGTTATAGATGCAGACTTTTTGTATTTGGCAGCCTAGGGCATGTTCACAGGTTGGTCATAAAAGGGCTTCAACAATGCAGGATGTGCAAAAAGAGGGCTAAACGGCTTGCAAAGTGCTGTGCTGTATCAGTGACAGGCACCATAGACACAGCTGCCTATACCCCTGGCAACACCTTCAATATTTGTGTCCTTGTACAAGTTCTTTTTATGTGGACATAAATTAATTGTTAAAAGGTGTGTGTGTGTGTGTTCGTTCCTGGAGTCTTATCACCTGATTTGTTTTCCCAGCTAGTTCTGGAGGTCGAGGAAAAAGAGGCCTTACTGAGGAAAATGAGCAAACAGAGCAAGACCATGAATAAAATGAAACGGGGTGAGTCGCACTCATTACATTTGCACTGCAACTGATAATTTTTTTCATTGCTGATGAGTCTATCAATATTTTTCAAAATATAATGAGGCTGATATTAAATAATAAATCAGTAGATATAAATCATTTAGTCTAGAAAACGTCACAAAAATAGTCTTTCTGTGTTTCCGACAGTCGAAAACCTAAAAGTATTTAAAGGTTTGTCCAAATTACAAAAAACACCACATTTCCTGTTACTTGTAGTGATTTCTAGCCACACACAGTTTTAGTTTTATCTGCTGAGGTGTTGAGATAGCTGTCTCTGAGGTTTCTGCTGCCATGCCAGTAACGTGGAGTTTTATATAAAACAGAAAAAAAGCAAATCCTCATAACTGAGAGACCTGAACGAGCGCTTAAATGGCTTCATAAATAACTTAAAGTGATTAATTAATAGACAAATTTGATTCATTTTCTGCAGATTGACTAATTTATTAAGCAGTGCATCATTTTAGTACGTTTCATTTACTCATTCAGAAACATCATGAATGCCTAAATGCCACTTAATTTTGTGTGTGTGTGTGTGTGTGTGTGTGTGTGTGTTTTCTGTGTGTACGTGCCCAGTGTCCCAGCTTGTCACCGAGGAGTTCACAGAAATGTCTCAGAAGCTGGAGCTGGAGCAGGGCCTCCGGCAGCATGCTGAAGTCTTCGCCCACCAGGTGTGAGCGTGTGTCATGCGTGTGTGTGTGTGTGTGTGTGTGTATGTTGTCTGCACGGTGCGCAAAACATTTTGTCGTACATTCACACCTATAGATACTGAGGGTGACAGGTCGTGCCACAGGAAGGGTGCAGGAGTGTCAGAGTGTTGACCTGCTGGCGGCCACGGCGAACAGACGGACACTTGGACAGAAGGGGTGGGACACACACACACACACACACACACACACACACACACACGTCCGCTGTCAGCTGATATGGCTGGACAGGAGAAGGGGTCTCCATTCTCTGTTTTCACACCGATGACACTTTGGTCTAATCCAGACTCTCTGTTCGAGGCGAGGCGTTCACACACACACAAGACAAAAGCAGACACCCACTCGTACACAAGCCGTAAAAAAACCAATTCACTTAAAATCCACATACCCAAACACACACACACACACACACAACACAGTTTTTGCTGCCCCAGCTGCTCCCATAATGAAGGCTCTTTCTTTCAAAAAACGTCTCTCTGTTCCCTTCCCTTCCCATTTAGCCCCTCCCTTCCCCATAATTAGTGGTCATCACTGCCGCTGAAGGAGAATAGTGGTCTTTAAGCACAACCTGTCTTTGCCTGACACCTTTATGTTTTGCCGAGCATATAGCAATTGTCGCCTTTGTGCGCAGCGTCCTCCATTTACCGGACAGGCGCACAATGGGTTGCCTCGCAGGGGTCCTTACCTGTGAAAAGGACCCCCAACTGTTCATACAATCCCCTCCCTTTACTCTCAATTCATGGTAAAAGACCCCCCTGCGCTGAATGCCTCTTGTATGCACTACTATTTGTCTGTTTTCATGTGTTTTGAAAACACCAACCATTCACACCTCTCCTCTGTGATGCATGGTGGTATAATGACGCAGGGCCTCAAAACAGGAAACAATTTGAAGGTTTTTTTTGTGTGTGTGTGTGTGTGTGTGTCTTTGTCTCTTTGTGCAGCCGTGCGTGGTTGTGTCTGTCTGTGGGTTTGTATGTATGAAATAATTGTGCTAATTGCTGTGTGAAAATTGCCCTCTGCTGAAGGGAGACCCGAGATTAGAGCAGTGTAATTTGCAGCGCGGAGCCTCGTGCTGCCGTGTGCTGAAACAGAGCTCACTAAACCTGCTGCTTCACTTCGTCCTCGCCGTAAAAACACAGAAATGAAAACCACCTTTTCTCTCACTTCCTGTTCTCTGATCACCCAACCTGTTCTCACAAAGTGTCTGTGAGAGGTACAGTGTATGGATCCACTTTACCACAATACACTAAGGTCATGTACTTTGTATTGTCTGTGAAGGGGTTTTTACTGTGTGTTATTTCACACAATTCAACAGTTTCAGATTTTTAAGGCTTGTAGGTTTGTCTGTTTCTGACAAATAGATAATTTTAAAGAAGGCACTTGACATACAATTTTTATTGCTCCTGTTTTCATACTCGGTCTTTTATTTATTATGTGATCTTGTTTTTTTTTATTTAGTTGCTAGGTGATACATTTATATCTTCTTGAATATGAAGTGTTAGTCACTGCATGTCTTTCCAACCTAATCTCCAGAATTTTTTTTTGTGTATTATATGTTTCTGCAAACCACAGATACGTTACATTTGTACAATATTTTGTAGTTTTTGTACAACACCGCTTGGTTATGATTAGGAAAAAGTCATGTTTGTTTGCACAAGATCCAGTGGAAAAGCGAGTTCGGTTCAGTGAAAAACATCCAGGTTCAGTTCCTCAAACGCCGCAGGGAAATGCAGCCATGTGTTGGTAAAAAACACCCAGGTTCCATGGCTCAAATGCTGCTGGGAAATGCCGCAATCTGTCGGTAAAAAATACCAAAGTTTGGTGCAACAACAACGTGGGTAAATGCTGCCATGTTTTGGTAAATAACATCTAGGTTCAGGGGCTTATACGCTGCTGGGAAACATTAGCCCCTTTTACACTGCCAGATTTTCCGTGAATGTTGGGCAGTTTAGCCGGCAAGCTGTGAGCGTTTAGACACACAGAGGCGGATTGGCGAGTTGATCCAAGGTGCCAAGTTTTCCGCCTCGTAGGGTAGACATATTGGCGGAACCCTTTTAGTTTAAAAAGACTGGGGTGGCCTTCTGCAACGGGAGGGGCTGTTGAAGACGCCGCACGTGCGAGACACTGGTGGTGGATAAACAGGAAATAGCTGATAGCAGGAATTAGTGGGCAGCTAGTAGCAAGAGGCAAACGCAAACCTGACAGACACTATAAAGATGAGCAACTGGGGAGACAAGGAAATATGCGCCCTCCTTGTCCTCGCAAACGAAGAGGCCATTAACTGTCAGATGATGGGGACGGTGAAGAACGGGCCGACTTACAAGAGAATCGCTGAAGGACTGACCAGCTGCAGCTTCCCTCCCACGTCACTGTTTACGTCACACGCTGAGCTACATGTTTTGTTACTTGCTCACGCCCCCCGTTGCCCCGAAAAAGGTGCATTCTGTATAAACAAAAGTAGGTAGGCGGCATTTTGCTGCACTCCCTGATTTTGCTTTTATACTGCCAATGCTGAAAAAAGACTGATTGGGCTTTCCTGCAAATTTGCACAATTCCTATCTAAAAAGGGCTACTGTGGTGTGTTGGTTCAGTACCACAGATGCCACTGAGAAATGCAGGGATTTGTCGGTAAAAAATACCAAGGTTGAATTGTTTAAATGCCACTTGGAAAGGCCGGGAGGCCGAACTACTTTCCCTTTGTGGATTAATTACAATATCTGATGTAATGTAATTGATCAGTACCAACATCTCTACCTGTATATATAATACTAAACATCACACAAGCTCATGCCACAGAACAAAATGTTTGTTTATAGCACTCTGATCATTTAGTAGCTCTGAACCACAGTGATTAACTGTAGTAGGTGTGTTTATTTGTCTCACTGCAGAAGAAAGAATCTAATTTTCAGTGAATCGAGGCAAAGCTTGACGTTTTTCATTTTTCCTTCGAAGCCACTTATCATAATGTGGAGAAAAGTAAGCTTTGTCTCACAGCCAAATCGTCCTGTTTGCATTGTTGCTGTTCTTCAGCGGAGCCGATGAGTAATTCCAAGTCATTGTTCGCTTTGAAAACACTTTCTCTGCATTGTGACAACCTCCTGCGGGAGAAAATTAACAGCCAGCCACTCAGATCTCACTTTATTTTCCCTCTAATTGTGGCTCATTGTCATTAATGGATTTCTTCTTCCATTTTCGTAGAAGCAGATAATGATAAAGAAGTGTTCAAGGTGTCAAAAGGTGAATTTGGTTTGTCTTGTCAGATGTTGGTGCAGCAGAAGGCGGCCCACAGGGAGAGTCTGATACTGATGCAGAGCTCAGAGACCGGCCTGCAGCTGCAGCAGGCTCTGGAACAAATCTCCAACATCAGCACGGCTCTGTGTGACATACAGCGCTGTTACCAGGACCAGGTGTGTTTAGATGTGATAAAAGAGTGTAATTACAGTAAAATGGTCTGTTTATGTTCTTCATCATGTCCCCTGTTTCCTTCAGGTAAGACAGAGTCAGGGTGCTGTGGAAGAGAGCGGCGTCCGCTCTGAGCTGCAGAACCTGAGAGAACAGCTGGAGAAGAGCGAGGAGGAGAGGAAGGCCTTGAAGACGCAGCTGTTTGAAGCTAACAGTGCCACCACACAGCTTCAGGAGGAAGGTAGCTGCTTGTGGAGAAACCATTTCTTAGCAAACATGCTTTATGGTAGCACCAGGAAAGGGTCAGTGGGTGAAGTCAAAGTGGAGTCTCCTCTGCTGGCGTCTATGTTGGCTCCCAAAAACTCTAAATGAAGCAACACATTGCAAGCCCTCCTAAAAACACATTTGTTGGGTAAAGAGCTATTGTCACTTCTTCTAATGTGTGTTTGGTTAGTAGTAAAGTAAAGAAAGCGAACTTCCAACATTTGTAAAAAACAAAAACAAACAAAAAAGCCTTTTTAGGTTTACTTCCTTCAGGTTCAGGCAACAAAAGTACATGCTTATGTTTGAGACAAAACATCATGGTTTGGCTTAAAATAAGTACATTTTAACTCTAACGAAATGTAAAGTCACATGACATACATCCGTAGCATAGTATGCTACATATACTAGCATGCTATGTTGTGATTTAAGTAGCTTGATCAACTTTTCGTTTCACACTGGACACAAACAGCAGACTTTTGAGTTAAAGTCTGGAGTTCGTTTGACCCATCTGTCCCACCCTGTGCAGACTTTCTCGCTCTTAATACTACGGCAGTTGCTTAGAGCATCAAATAAATGGCATCTCATACCACTGCTAAAGGTACCTATGGTGCAGCGTTGACACAGAGCCTATGCTGTAGCCTGACATGCACCTCCCAGAAATGTAACTACACGTTGCGGCGACGCAGACCTCCTGTCTATTTCTGTAAGATGACACCATTTCCCTCAGTGGAAACAAAACTTTTATTTACCTTAATTTCACAGATAAGAAATAATAAATTGTGAAGACAATAAAGCCTCCACAAAAATAGCATTTTAAGTCTTGTGTGTGATTTATCCTGGCTTCATATGAGCAGAGGAAACCTCTGCTTGTCGCTAGGCTAATTTATACAATGTAAAATGCCATAGGCTTGTGCTAATAATATTAGCATGTTACGTTTGTTTGGAAAACATGTTTAGTATAACACAGTTGTTTTGTCAGTGAACCTTGTGAGTTGCAATGGAGCCAAATTATGTACCGTTACCTTTGTTACATGTTGTTACATGCTGTTGTCCCTGGCTTCATATGAGTAGAGGTAAAGATCACTAGCTGCTAGGCTAATTTATTCAATGTAAAATGCCATAGGCTTGTGCTAATAATGCTAGCATGTTGTATTTGTGGGGAAAATGTGTCCAGACAAAGAAAGTGTTTGTCTGTGAATGCTGCGAGTTATAGTGAAGCTGATTTGTGTACTTGTGTTTGAAATTGTCTCTATTAAGCCATGTTTAATGTGTGTTTAATGTGTGTTTTGAGTCACCTACTCAGTCAACTACTGTATTGGGCCAGATATGACCCAGAAGAGACCTGTGACTCATATCTGTGTGAGAGGGTGGGGCTGACTCATAGACTACAGTGGCACCACCCAGACAGCCTGTAACTCACAGTTGTCATGAATGTTGAAAATAGCTATAGAGACCAAAACTGTTTTTTGTAAACATGTTTATTTATCATCATCTTTGGTGTGGGCTTCATTTTTCAGCCCAGGAGGTTGCCACTTGTTTTCTGCAGGCTGTGTAGTCAAATGCTTTCCGGATGATTCATCTTGTTGTTGCCCATAAGAAATGATATTTTGCAAAATCCTTGTCTCAGGGCTACTCTTAGGCTTGTCTCTTTCTCTCTGAATGAACAGGTGTTTAATATGCAGCAATATAATTTATATTTCCAGGGTGAATGTTCTCTTAGTTCACGATATTGATGATCAAAGGAAATGTTTCACTGTCTTCCTTTGCAGTAAAGAAGTTACAAGACTCACTGAAACGGGAAGATGCAACTAATGAACCAGAGGAGAAAGCCACTCCTGCTCCACCTCCACCCTCTCCTCCTCCTCCTCCTCCTCCTCCACCTCCTCCTCCACTTCCACCTTCCTCTGCTGTCACCAAGTATGTTTAACTAAAGCCAGGCGATGGGGAGTGTCAGTGGACAGTGTTGGTTTCACATCTTCAAATCCTGTATCAGAGGCTTTTTACACTCTAACGACTGTGTGTTTTATAAGTTATGAAGCAGTGTGACCATTTGACCCCTGTGACCTTGTTCTCTTCCTCTCTCTGTGCCAAGTTCACTCGATTTCCTGAGAAGCAGGAGAAAAGAAGGTGCCAGTAAGGCTGATCAAAACAGTGAGTCACACTTTCATCCAACTGCAGCGGTGTCACATAAAACATACTTTTCACCTCGAAGCCAAGATTTATCCCAAATTTATAATTTACTCTGAATTCTTATGATACATTCTCTCTGATTTTTCAAAAACACAATAGTTCATAAAGGTGTAAAACAGTTTAAAATATCATATCCAATCTCTAATCTTTTAGAAGCAGCACCCATGTTGGACATGAAGACAAAAGCGGTGGATGAGATGATGGAGAGGATAAAGAAAGGCATCATCCTGAGGCCCATCAAGAAAATACAGGTGGACAAATTGTATTTACAGACTTTTAAAATTCCTTTATTTGCATTTCCCATTGATTATAATGTGTGTTCACATTTTAGGATTTTATATGACCAGTTGAAGTTGTAAAAGAATAAAACCCAAAGTGATAAATAATAAACTGATGACTAAGATCTGACTTCTCTGCTCACAGGACGATGACAGCGCATGGAAGGTCAGTTATCCTCATTTGTTCCTTTTTGTATTTATTATAAAGCAGCTGTGACATGAAAATATTTCCAAATCTTTTTGCAGGACCAGAGGAGTGAAAACAGAAAATCAGCTATCGTGGAGTTGAAAGGAATGCTGGTAACGTACTTCAACTCATACTGTGTGTCATGAGCACAAACCCTTGAGTAACAAAGGGCAACTGAAACATCTGTAACCGTTCTACACACCAGGACACCATGAAACATCAGCAGCTCCGCAGACTGCCGTCCAGGCGGGTATTCGGCCGAAATGTTGGGGAGGCTGAGCTCCTGCAGGTGCTCCAGAGGAGGAGGAGAGTGATGGGGGAGAACCAAGACCAAACACACGGTACGCTGTCCTGTCACTCCTCTGTGGTCAGAATGATGCCACAGTGTGTCTGTCTTTTATTTCTGTCTTTTGTTAAATGAGTTTAGATTAATATTGTTGTTGTTTTTTATGTATTTGTCTGGTCTCCTGTGTGTCAGCACCTCCGCAAATGGTGTAGCACACCTCAATTAGTAAATCATACGTCTCAAGGGATAGATTCAGAGTTTTAAAACCCAAATTAGGTTTATTAATATGTTGTCAAATATCATTTATGAGTTTGTGTAACAAACACACAGGCACTAAAGGCCAAAGTGATTCCCTTTAGACTGTGTTTGAACCCATTGAGAAGCACGGGGACAAGAGTCTCAATACTAAAGCTATTGCAAGGTTAGAAATCATGGGATATATTTTAATAAGGTCCAAGATGAAGACATTTGTTTGGTGTCTGAAAGCATGTTTTGATTCTCAAAGGGTGGTGTATACCACAAAATTGACAGTTTAACACAGAGTGAGTGGATGCTCTAAAATGTGTTCCTTTAATACTATGAGGTCATTCAGGTTGCTCTTGTGCACTGTTTGTATGTAAACCTACGAAAAGTAATGCACCACAATTCGTATATAACCCATATGATCAGGACCCTGTATGACCCATGTAATTGGGAAGGCTGCGATCACGGGACTGATACGCTGACAGGAGTAAAGAAGGAAGTAGTATAAAGAATGAAAGTACGTGTAAAGAGGAAGGTTGAGGTGGTGGATGGGTCAAACAAACACAAGACTTTCCCCCAGGACACTGGATTTGTGTCCCGTGTGAAACCAAGTGAACTTTGAATTATTTTAGGGTACATCGTCACCATGTTTCTTTTCCTAAACCTAACATATGTAACTCAAGTTTCCTAAACCTAACCTACATTTCTTTATGTTAAGTATGTAACTTTCTAGTAAGTATGTAAACTGATGACGCTAAACCATGTTTCTTTTCCTAAACCTAGCTTACATAACCTTACTTCCCTAAACCTAACCCTAAATTTATCCTCCTAACCCTAACCTATGAAGCTTAACTTTCCTGAACTTAACCTGACTTTACTTACCTTTACTAAACCTACGTATCTTTACTTTAAGTGCATAACTTTACGTTAAGTACTTAACAAGATGATGCCCAAACATGTTTCTTTTCCTAAACCTAACCTACATGCTTTACTTGCCTGAACCTAACCTACGTAACTTTAGTTTCCTAAACCTAAACTATTTAACTTTACGTTAAGTACGTAACTTTACGTTACGTACATAATGTGATGATGCCCAACCAAGTTTCTTGTCCTAAACCTAACCTACGTATTAGTTTCCTAAACCTAACCTACGTAACTTTAGTTTCCTAAACGTAACCTATATAACTTTACGTTAAGTACGTAACTTTACGTTACGTTACGTACATAATGTGATGATGCCCAACGAAGTTTCTTGTCCTAAACCTAACCTACATATTAGTTTCCTAAACCTAACCTATATAATTTTACGTTAAGTATGCAACTTTATGTGTAATGTGATGAAGCCAACCAAGTTTCTTTTCCTAAACCTGACCTTCATTACTTTAATTTCCTAAACCTAACCTATGTATCTTTACTTTCCTAAACCTAACACATTACTTTACGTTAAGTACGTAACATAATGATGCTGAACCATGTTTCTTTTCCCAAACCTACCCTATGTAACTTTACTTGCCTTAACCTAACCTACGTAGCTTTACATTAAATATGTAACCTAGTGATGGTAATTGTGGGGTGCTAATTCGTTAGTTTTTATATGAACCATTGTGTGAGGATACATTGGGCCACCAATGTGAAAAGAAACTGATGTGAAAGGCCTACCAGGTCATAACATGCAGTCATCCCTGTATTTTATTTTCATTGTTTTATCATTTTTCTGGTAATTTCATGTTTTTTTTTTCTTATAGTGATGCACTGTGGCATATGACTTCTAAAAAGAGTCCTACAGATACACTATAATATATTAAAAGGAAAAGCTAAGGAGTGAAAAGTAACCAACAGATCACTTCAGGCTCAACATTTGATCTGCACGCAGAGAGAATTTTTGCCTCTGCAATATTTATAATCAGAACAAAGTGCTTTATCATATCACTGTGGTCAGCTTTTATAGCCCATCTTTCAGTTCTCATTTTTTGGATTTGTGCTTGACCTGAAGTAATCTCTTGGTCAGATGCTCAGCCAGGTCCACGGAGTGTCCCAGCAGCGGGAGACGTCCCCTGGGCAGGCGAGAGCAGCAGCGCCCCTGTGCTCCGCAGGCTGAAACAGAACAGAGAGAAGAGAGACTCTCGCATCAGAGCGTCAGCGCTGATCATCACCCAGGAAAACTGAGAGTGGTAACAGGAAGTCTTTTTGTCATTACTGTTTTATATGATGAGTTTTTTTGTCACTGATTTCCTGAATATCACTGTTGTTTTTACTTCAAATGAATCAATTCTATCTTTATATATTTGTTGAATAAATACAGGAATTCATAGCTTTTGTGACCCCTTACAATAAAATGTCAGTTGATTATGGTCTGTACTGAATGCTAAAATAAAGACTTGAGTCTGGATCATGTGATGTCAGAAAACAGCTCTTAATTTGTCATTTATCCTCCTGGAAGAATTAGTACATCGCAAACGAACGTTCAGGGCTCAGAAACCCCCCAAAAGAAAAGCAATTTTCAAATGCCGTTTAACCCACATCTGCTTCAAATAGCGTGTACTTGTTGCGTGTCAGAGGAAATGGAACTCATTCAGCCGCATTTAATGTCAAGCATCAGCCTTTTTGGATGCCTCGGCTTCAGCTGATCTAAGTGCAACTTACAGGGCTTTATTTATGCTACAGAATATAGATGGAAAAATAGCCCGAGCCATAAAAAAAAAAAACACTTTATGAAATGAATACCCACTTCTCTACCGAGGTGTCTGTCTCTTAAAGCTCGATCCAGCAGAAGGATGCAGGCTGCCATTTATTTAGGCACATTAAAGCTCTCACACCCAGAGTCCAGAGGTGTTGTTGAGATAAGAGCCTCAGGTGATCTGCGCGCTTCCTCCTGAAAGTATCTTTAAATGCGGAGGGTCGCCTTTTGTTTTCTCACTTTCACACAGATACTGTATATACGTGTGCATGCATGCATGAATGAATACACACACCTCACACCACGCCGCCCATTCTGCCTTTGTTGAAAGCATTTGAAAAGATGAAATTACTCTCACCTTTGACTCCGACACCATTTTAGTGTCTTCACACTGTTTCACATTATATATTTACTTTATTTAGCTCCTTTTACTAGAAGGTCTGCCTTTTCACTCTGCAGCATGCATTTTTTATTGTTTTCCTCCTCAGTCTCAGAGGTGTTAGCTTTTGGGATGCAGTAATGTATTCTGCCTCCACAGTGTTATTGAATCAATGCACATGGAAGCCAGTGTGTGTGTGTGTGTGTGTGTGTGTGTGTGTGTGTGAGTGAGAGAAAGAAAGAAAGCAGAAGATGGACACATACACAGGTAATGAAAGAGACACAGGAGGTTCTGGAACTGAAACTCTATATTCATGTTAATACCAACATAAAGGGTGCGTTAACGAGAGACGATAGTGATAGTGAGTGGCACTAATCCTTTAAATGATGACCCTACAGTATATTTCCCAGGTGAACGAACAGAAGAAAGGAAGCATGTTTGTATCTACGACCTTTGCCAAGGTTACAGTTCTGAAACAAATGAAGCCACATTGAGAAACCAGCTAATTTCATGAATACAGACAGAGCTGTGGCACATTTATGGGCATGCAGCACTACACAACAGTGTTTCAAAAATACCCGTTTTCAATAGATGTCGATTCTAAATATTTTAAACAGTTTCATTTCTCGTTTTCCTCAGTATTGACAAAACAGAGCTGCGCTTTCTCACTCTGTTGTTGTTTGCTACAGTCATTTTGCTGTTCTCTGCTGCTAAACAAGAAAAGGAAGGTCATCATATTGTGTCTTGTTATATTTATCTTTTCATAAACATTTTGAATTAAGCGGTCTGTTTCAGTTCACTAGATGACTTATAGAGAAGGGGTGGCATTAAATACGTTTGTACTTCCTCCTGCTCCTTTTCGGATATGTAAGTCACAGTAACTATACATTGACAATTGCTTTTTCATCATGCTTTACATTATTTGTTAATATTACTTTCTGTCTGTCTGTCTGCTTTTTTGAAGGTTCATATATTTTTTTTGTACATGTTAGAAATAAATATCAATATTAATATGTCCTCAATGCTGATGTTTCCCCGTGGTGTCATAAATGGCGTCAAATTGGGCTACCATCAGATTGATACCACAGGACAAAAGAGTTCACGATAACAATATCGCGATAGCTGTTGAAAATTTTGAGAAACTTAAGGTAATGCTGTTAGTCAAATTCATATTTAACTTTTGCTTATTGTGACTTTTATCCCTTTTCTTCTGCAAATGAATTACACTTAAAATTTCTGTAACCAAAACTACAAAATCATACAAAAAGAGCAACTATACTTAATGAATAGTGAAAAAAAGCAACCAAATGGTATTGGGGAGGCAAAGCAAGGACGGAAAAAATGGAAATTACTTAGGAGGCACAGAATTATATACATTAAATTAGCATGTGTGTATTATTAAAATGATGTCAATATTTTTATTATTATATTAAATATCAGGGTTATAGTCAATACTAGTATATCATAACACCCTTAATGTTGATATTTTTTAAGGTATTGTATCATTTGTGTGTTGTTTGACTTTAAATAACTTTTGGAGGCTTTTTTTTTTTGTAGTTTTTTATTTTTTAAACACAGTTAAGGCCAACCTCCGGGCAACTGGAGGCTACAACACAGGTAGGCTGTGGAGACAGAGCAATTATTTCCCTGTAAAATATCTATCTATCTATCTATCTATCTATATATATATATATATATATATGTGTGTGTGTGTGTACTATGGTAAATCAAAAAGATTTACCATGGCAAAATTATTCCATTAATTATGATAGCATGACAAAATGTTGACTTTGTTTCTCGTCATTTTAATTTAACAGTCAGATTTTTTTTTGCTAGTAAATCAAATCAACGTTTCCTTTGTCTCCCATACATTCACTCAGTTTGTTATTGCTCTGTATAATTTAAAGGGGGCGGACAAAAACAATCAGTGTTAAAAGGGAAGGTGTAATAAGCCTTTTCGGTCCTGTTTGTTTGTTTTTTTTTGGTTACCTTTTATACACTAAAAAAAACATTAATGTAATGTTATGTATCATCTATCTATCCTTGTATTTGATTTCTATAAGTTTGAAAATGATGAAATACACTAAATTAAACTATATTGAATACTCAAACAGCGCATTTCATAAATCAGGACAGTAAGTTGTTTAATTTTGGGCGGTTAGTGTTGGCTGTGGGCCAGGAGGTAGAGGTAGAGCTCTCGATCCATCAGTCCCAAGGTTGTAGGTTCGATCCTCCCTGTCCACAAGGCATGTGAACAGCGGGTATATATAAATATAATAAATTCAGCTGTTTACTGTTTATTTCTCAGGAACAAGACACCGTATTTGACCTGTCAGACTGCTGCACTCCCCCTCCAACCAGACGTGGCGCTACAACCCAGACACCCCCGTCCCTCCATCACCCGGGGCCCTTCTTCTCTGCTCTCCTCAGCCTGTACTGAAAACACAGGGGCAGGAACTTTGACCGGTGCTCCAGCGCTAGTTAGCAGCCAGCTAGCTGCTCTCTCTATTATTTTCATATTTTTGCTTGTTGTTTTACATGCAGAGAGATGTGGTTTATTTATTTACTCAGCTGGCTGTCGTTAGTCATCCAGATATCCTTCGTCACTCTAGCAATAGGTAAGTGCACGCTGGGAATCCCTGCAAGAGCTGGCTAATAGTCGCTTGCTAATGCTAGCGGACCGAGTTAGCATTTGAAGCTGCACCGTTACACGTTAACGGGGCATATTTTCATAAAACGGCGACTGTATAATGTGTTCATAATAAAACGCAAATACAAACAGTAGTTGTGCCTTAAGAATAAATAGGTTACGTGTGTCAAATCGCCGAAGTACTGATATCATGTTTAGCTAGCTAGCTAGCTTTCTAGGACAGGAATTTGTGTGCAGCGAATACAAGATGCTCTTTTTTGTACATAACAAAAATGACAACGTTACGTATTTCAAACGATATCACATCAGGCGAAACAATGATAATATTTTATAGGCAGATATTGATTTGCTTTTAATGTTTAAGTAGTTTTTGGGACATGGGAGACACTTCAGCTGGAAGTAATGTTTGCTAATAGCTTGTTAGCATGTAGCGTTCCGTCACTCCCCTTTTATCGATTCTGACTAATCGATTAGGTTGATGTCTCAGCAAATAACGCTGATGTGGTCATGATGTCTGGTATGCAGTAGAGTCTAGATACAGTAGCATCCAGGAGCAGTCTGTAGAGGAGAGTTAGAATGTAAGCTAACATGAACAGCCTGCTAATGCATCAAATCTATATAACATTAGCAAGAAGCTATTTTCGTTTATTTATTAAACTAGTTGGAAGGTTATTTGGCAAGATGGCTGCCTAACATGCTGTCCACATGCCTGTCACAAGTAGGGTCAATATTATGTCGATACAAAACTTGGCAAAGAGCCTCTCTGTCTGTCCACGTTGCCAGGTAGTTACCTGGCCACGTAACACCTGCTGCAGCTGTCAGGTGTGGCTGCTGACTGTCAGACTGTCTGTCAGTCACACTCCGTCCGGCCCACATGTCAGGTGTCTGTCTGTGTACTCTTGATTTTTCATTTGCATTTGTAAAAAAAAAAAGAAACTGGATCCAGGAACAAGAATTTACATGTTTGCTCAACTGAATCTGGCTGAAACCTCATAAGATTAAGTGACAGCACCTCTTTCTAATAGGACAGCTTCTTTTTATTGCTATTTAATAATAAAGGGTCAGTTATAGTTAGGCTTAGGTCAGGTTTGAATTCCTGAATGTTATACTTAGGATTACCTGTGTAAACTGCCATCTAATAATCAGTGATTTTAATTTTGTTTGTCCCTTTGTGGACTTAAATGTATGGATGTCTGCTACTTTGTGCAGCTTTCTTTTTTGTCTTTCTGTCTCTCCCATGTTTGTAATATTTTTTATCCATGGACTAATGGATCAAGGTGCCTGGATCAAGCTCTCTGAGGGATTTTTACATGTCTCAATCGCATTCCTGTTGCATAAGGACTAATTAGCAAACTGCCTGTGAAACATCAGGAAATTATTTACTGATGAAGACAGTAGATATGTTTATTGGAAAGTGGCATGGACAGGATTTATTACCAATGAGTACTTCACTTACTGCTGTTTGTTGCCTCTCATAAACTTCTTGTTCAGTATTGCCTCATTTTACTTTTTTGGTTCATATTTTATTTATTGTGATCGTGTTGTCCAGAGCTGAGAGGAGGCACCAAGTATACAGGGAGTGTCAGTCTTGATTTATTAATTTTAAAAGAGTTTGCTGTCACTATTCTTCCCTCTCTTTTTCTTTTGACTCTATCTTTTAGAAAGTGCTGATTGCCTTTGCGTGATGAAGCTCTCGGGCTCCCATGAGCCGTCGCCTTCTCAGCCCCCTGGCATACAAGTTTTGACGTATAGTCTTTTCGGCTGTGTTTGGCCCTCATTCCACATGTGCTCAGTAACTGTGGGTCATGTCTGTTTTGCCCATTAGTTTTTATTAACGCACTCGCCTTTCTTGCTTTGCCTCGGCTGTTCACTGGGGAGAGGTTTTGAATCTCAGTACCTTTTATTTACTCACTGAAATTTGTTTTTAAGCACCAAGAAGGAAAACTGTCAAGTGTTGAAGCTGGCCTTGAATCTCTGGTCAGATTTATACTCTTCTTTATGTATCCTGTCATCAGTTATTTAGAGATTTCTTTCAACGTTTTTCCCCAAAAAATCAGTAACCTTTAAAATTTGAGGGCTTCGAGAGTTTCGTAGAATGGTGTGTTAATATTCCTCAAAGCAAGGCACTGAACGATAATTACCTCAAGTGTCATTTTGGTAGAGGCACCTAAACTCAGGTACTGTATCATAACTAGTTTAAAACAGTGTTACTGTTGACTGCAGTGTAGATAGCACCAGATCTTTGGATAGCATAGCAATGTTTTTGGAGCGAGGTGACCATATTTGGATGAGAGGGTGGAGTCAACCATAACACAAGCTGCTACCTTGGTTAGCATGTAGCATTGACAGCCTGTGGTCAACTGTGACAGTGCCAATGCTAATTTTCACCAGCGAAAAATAGGTTTAAAACTAGGGCTGTCACTGTGTTGATTTCCAGCACAGATGACAAAGAATTCTGTCTCTCTGTTTTTGTTGTTGTTCCTGTTTGGTTGCTGATCATCTTATCTCCGTCTTCACCCAGCTGCTGGCCTGTACTACCTTGCTGAACTAATAGAAGAATACACAGTAGCCACCAGTCGAATAATAAAATACATGATTATGGTGAGTAAGCAGCTATAGATTGATATCATTTCCTTCTGCACTTGTTTTTAAGAATATACTGCAATAAAACATTCAGTTAACAATGTCTGTGCTCTCTTTCACTGTGTGCATGTGTTCAGTTCTCGACAGGTGTGCTGGCAGGTCTCTATCTTTTTGAAGGCTTTCCAATGTTGATGGTGGGAGTCGGCCTGTTCACCAACCTGGTGTACTTCGGCCTCCTGCAGACGTTCCCCTACATACTGCTGAGCTCCCCAAACTTCATCCTCTCCTGTGGTAAGTGTGGCAGACACTGGCTTTGGATTATTATCCTGTTTATTTCTTAAAACAGAGCAACTGATATCAGCTTCACCTAAAGGGTAATTTTGGTATTTTTCAACCTGGAACCTGTTTTCCCTTTTTTGTGTCTGACTAATGGGAACAATCATTCTTGAAATTAGTCCAGTAGTGAGCGAGAGCGCTTCAGCTGCGAAACAGGCTGCAATGTAACCATACGGGACATGTTCGCACCGTCAATTTCAATCCACTAAAAGTGTTTGTTTTTGCCACTGACAGGCTCATTTGTGTCCGACAACATTATGGAAAGGATCCCTACAGAGATAGACCTTTTTGTTTAATCAAAAATAGCCCGAAATGGAATCTGGTGGGTTTGGTGGTGGCGATTTCAGGGCTGTTTCTGGTTAAACAAAAAGGACTGTACTCTTTAACAAAAAGGTCTATCTCTGTAGGGATCCTTTCCATAAGGTCGTTAGACACTTAAAATAACAATCTGAGCCTGTCAGTGGCAAAAAGAATCAGTTTTAGTTGCCCAAAATTGACGTTGTTCCCATCAGTTACTTAGACACAAAAACGTGGAAATAGGGCCCAGGTTAAAAAATACTTTAGTTACTCTTGAAAGGAACAGTAAGAATAGATGCTCCCAGGTATTTCTATGAAGCTAAAAAATGTCTTCCTTTCATTCAGTCAGCAAAAGACTCTTGTGTGAGAATATTAAGTCGAACCAACACACAGTTTTCTTGTCCTGTTTTACTTTACCAACATCCTTTCTTCTCCTTTCTCTTCACTCTCCAGTGTTGGTAGTGGTGAACCATTATATGGCCTTCCAGTACTTTGCACAAGAGTATTATCCATTCTCAGAGGTAATTTCATCTCCCATTTATGACAACATGCACTATGTTTGATATAGTGTTATTTTAGGAATATGGGAAAGATTTTCTTGTCTTATAATCTTGCATTTGGCATTTAGGTGCTGGCGTACTTCACCATCTGCCTGTGGGTGATCCCCTTTGCCTTCTTTGTGTCACTGTCAGCGGGGGAAAATGTGCTTCCGTCCACCATGCAACAAGGAGGTGAGGCTTTTCTTTTTGTCTCTTTAGCTGTTTCTGATTGGAGCACTGGTAGCAGTTGAGTGCTTAGTATGTTTTATTGGATTCTTTTTATCTTGACAAGTTCTCTTTGAGGAACTGAGGATATTCTTAGATCTCTTACACTTAAACCTTTTTTATGAGGTCAAAACAAGTACATTGAAATTAAAGGAAAACCATGTATTTGTCAGGGAGAGCAGGGCCGGCTGTGTGTTCAGTGTGTATGCGTGACAGTAGTGGAATGAATGGAAGACGTTATGCAGGTCACATTATCAAGGTGTAATCAGAGTAGATGGGCTATGTGGAGACACACCTTTGACATAGTGTCCAATTAAACGCTCTCCCTACCTTCCTCTCCCCTCCCAATCAAAGAACAGTTGAGCCTCACTCAGTTGTTCCCAGTTTTCAGTATGTTTGGGACTCTCATGGCCTGAAAACGAGAGCTAGTGTATCTAACCTGAAACAGCTCAATCCAAGAAGCAACGTAAGGAGAAGTACATTCCTCTACACAGAAGGGAGAAGTGGAGTCAATCCCAAAGGAAATGAAATCTGCCCATTCTCTGAATAGTTTTAAGAAACAGCTGAAAAAATGGATGCTGAGTAAGTTAGTGAAACATCCTTTCCAGGACAGTTTTTATGATAGTGTAACATTGATGTTCTTATGTTTGTTAGCTTTTTTATTAGATTAATTCATTTAAAAGTGGGATATAAGTAGCATCAGTAGCATATACATGTCATTCACTATTCCTGCCTGCCTCCTATGGGCTGAGTCAAGCCACGCTGCGCCGATTTGCATTTCCACACAGAGCTGCGCCAGAGATAGACCTTCTCCAGAGTAGGTCCAAAAGCCGGGCCCTCATGCGGGTAGCGGTGACGTCTCACCGAATGCAGCCAACCCCCAATGACCCCCTTCTCCCCTTCAAACAAGCCGTGTGTGTTGCAAGACTCCCCTCACCTCTGTCTGCAGGAGCCCAGAGTTTTTAAAGCTCCCTGTGTTCAGCTCTCAGTGCTTTTGTAGCTTCTAGCTGAATCTCTGTAGTTTGGAGTTTAGTTTCTCTCCTGCGCCCTGTTCTTACTTTAGATATCTGATTTATTTTACTGTTTCATGTTCACTTTGAGCTGTATTAGAAGTTGAAAACTCAACATTTCCTTATTTTGCTGCTTCACAATAAAACTTTTTACATAACAAAAAACAGGGGACTTTAATTGCGAAGAATCTATAGGAAGTGAAATGTGTGATCTCTGAATTAGCGGAACTTTGTTAGAGGCTTTTCTTTAATTAAGACAAGTGTAAAAATACGGCAGGGAGGAAGCGTGAAATCAGAGACAGCCACAGCGAGATGTTGATGAAGAGCTGCAGACAACAGGCTCTTACTGCACCTCTGCAAACAGCTCACCTCCAACAAGTAAACTTCTTTTACCTGCACTGCAATAAAAATATATAGCCATGGATCAGCCCACTGCTTTTAAACGTCATCACTCAAGACAAGCTGATATCAGTTTAAGACACATCTTCAAGCAGATAGCCCTGTTGTAATGGAAATGCAAATCCCTGCTAGTGGCTGAAACCAAACCAAGCAAGGCTGAGCCAGCCCATGACTGTCAAAAAGGGGTACTAGCCTAGTTCCAGGACCACTATGGTAACAAGTCATGTGACTTTATCTCAATATCTTGATGAAATCTAGTAGTGTATGCACATTTGTCTGCTGAACTTTAATTTATCAAATAAAGTCCATCAATCACTCCCAGCTCCCATACAATCAAGATGGTGGCCAAAAAAAAGAAAAACTGGGATTTATTGATCTCCTGTGGTGCTTAACTTTAGTGGATCATGACATAGCAGATATGGAAATCAATCTGCAGGTGCTCCAGTTCAAAATAAGACTTTTGTTTGGAAGTTTTTTAGCCATGAAAATGTGGCCTTCAACAGACTAGGTAAGGCTTGTGTTTAGCTCAGTTCATGCCCGAAATGCCTTTTGCTTCGTGATGTTGTTGATGACTTGAAGCTTCTACCAGCCAGTTAACAGGAGTGAGGAGTCAGTAGTCAATGACCTATAAAACAGTCAATCATCACTGCAACCACGAGAGGCCATGAAGCATACAGTCATGAATGTGCACCAAAAATATTAGGCTGATAGGTCCAGTAGTTAGCTAGATTAGCTGCGTACAGACAGATACACACACACACACACACACACACACACACACACACACACACAGCATAACACATGATAACGAGATAACAATGGTAACAAATGCCCTTTCCTTTTTCTTTCTCTAGATGATGTGGTGTCTAATTACTTCACCAAGGGCAAGAGGGGGAAGAGGTCTGGGATCCTCCTCGTGTTCTCCTTCCTCAAAGAGGCAGTGCTGCCCAGCCGACAGAAAATGTACTGAGGAGCTCGGACTCGTGGTGCAGCCTCGGGGGTCAGGGTGTGTGTGAGTAAGTGTATGTGTCGCAGATTAAGGGGAAGCAGGAAGGACTTTGGAAATTTGTTTCTGGATGGGACTAAAACGAAACAGTGGCCAAAGTGGAAGAAGAGCACACGAAGAGGACGGACCAATAAACAGAGCTTCCTGCTGGACGAGCCCACGAGTTTACACAGGCCATGTTTGTCTCTCTTTGTTTTTCTGTCTGTCTGTACTGACTGCCAACAACATCTACTAGAGACCTCTTAGTGGGGATCTTGTCCGTAGTGCAACGCTTTCTTAATGTCATGTCAGACTCCTCCATTTTTTACGCTTTGATATGTGTGTGAAGGGTCTGGAATTAACAACCACCAAAATACCTGTACGTTTTGACTTTGGCAGATAAATCAGTATCACTTTTCTTCTTGAGATGAGATCTGCTGTCATTTGTGTGTTGTAGGTCTTATATTTGGTCAGATTCAATACACAAAGTAGCATCACAGACAGGTTAGGAGACAAAATACGACTAGTGAAAACTTTGTGTCTCCTCAGACTAAGGAGGTTGGAGATAAATTAGATAGCTTAATACTCTCTGGCTAAATCCTGATCAAGTTTGGCTTTTGATGTGAAGTGATCCTTGAAAGGAGATAAGTGTTAACGTGGCAAACCAGCTGCAGGTTGATTGCCACAGGTCGCCACAGAAGTGCTTATTGAGATTACTGCAAATGAGAAAGTGCAGTCTAAGGAACACTTGACTCCCTCCAGAGTGAACGAAGAATCCAAAAATGGTGAAATTCTTTAGAAATTGGTGTTAAGTCATCAACATCAACGGAGACCGCAAAAGGAAATCTTTATGAAAACATCTGTTTACAAACTCTCACACTGTGCAGTATAAGTCTCATTTACCCAGTTGTATGTTTAGGACTTCCCAAACAGACAGCTCTTTCTGACTGACTGAAAAGTTAAACTTGTCAATTCTCTCTTCAAATCCAGACTCTCAAAAACAGTATTTTTTATCTTTCTAAACATGGAAGCTGCTGGTCTACTGCTGCATCAATCAGCAGTTTATTTCTGTTAATTTATTACTTTGGTGTTTTAAAGGGTTACTTCGGTCCCACAACAACACAAAGTAAAGCGGGATTTATACTTGTGCAGCAGACCTTACGCTGTAGGCTACGCCGTGGTGAACATTTATACTTGTGCGGTGGTGTGTCTGTGTCACTCTGCAGTTACACCTCCAAAACACGAGTCAGTGGCGGGGTTCCTGTGAATGCCTAGTCAATTCAAAACACACGAACACAAATCAGCTTCACTATAACTCGCAGCATTCACAGACAAACATTTGTCTTTTTCTGGACACATTTTCCCCACAAATACAACATGCTAATGTTTTTAGCACAAGCCTCTGGCATTTTACATTGTATAAATTAGCCTAGCAGCTAGTGGACTTTTCCTCTACTCATATAAAACCAGGGACAACAGCAACATTTAACAAAGGTAACGTTACAAAATTCATCTCCATTACAACAAACAAGGTTCACCAACAAAACAACTGTCTTATACTAAACACGTTTTCCAAACAAATACAACATGCTAACGTTATTAGCACAAGCCTATGGCATTTTACATTGTATAAATTAGCCACGCGATGAGCAGAGATTTCCTCTGCTCATATGAAGCCAGGGTAAATCACACACACAAGATTTAAAATGCTATTTTTGTGGAGGCTTTATTGTCTTCACAGTTTATTGTTTATTATCTGTGAAATTAAAATAAATAAAAGCTTTGTTTCCACTGAGGGAAATTGTTCCAGCTTAGAGAAATAGACAGAAGGTCTGCGTCGCTGCGACGTGTAGTTACATTTCTGGGGAGGTGCACGTCAGGCTATGGTGTAGCTTCAATGCAGAAATATAAATTCCACGTAAGTGTTCAAGGCAGTGGTAGACAAACAACTCCTGTGTTCAGTGAGGTAAAATTACAGTTTATGTCAATGGAGTCTGGCTTTGAAGACAGCATTGGTAAGTTTCACTCCAAGTTCAGCTTCCCATCAGAAAGAGCTGTATGTTTGGGAAATACTGAGCATAAGACTGGATAAATCAAACTTGGATTATACTGCACGACTTGTGTGAGAGTCTGTAAACGGATGTATTGGTATAGTTTTGTTGTTGTTAAGCATGGACCCCTTTTACTTCAATTCATCAAGAATTTGCTCAATTTTTGGATTCTTCGTTCACAATGGAGGCATACCAGAAAAACTAAGTTTTCATCATGTATTTAACATAACTTGGGGTAAGTAACTGACAAACAAATGGTCATTTTGTGGGGTGAAGTGTTCCTTTAAAGTTGTAAGGAATCAGGTTCTGATCGATAGAAATGTCTGGTTTTAATTACAGTATGTGACATATAAATACTTCCTGCCCCGTCGGATCACATTGATGAAAAAGGGGCTGATAAGGGCAAATGGAAAGGATTACTTTTATAATTGAAACACCCCTAAATTAAAGTTAGCTACAATGGAAGTCTCCCAGTGTGGATTGTTTACATGTGGCCACAGAAACCATGCACTAGGTAAAGATTTTTATTCTTCTTTTGCATCTCCAGAGTCATTAATCACCAGCGCTGTAGCCTGCGACCAGCCTGTTGTTTTTGGACTGTTTTTAAAAATTCACAGTAATAACAAAGTGATTTTTGTACATTGATTGTTGAGTTAACCCGACATCAGACGACAAATGAAACACTTGTTAAGATCGAACTTGTGCAATGACTCCTGCAAGCTTACATGCGTCGGGGGACAAAAGCTGCTTAAAGTGGTTTGATGAAAGCGCCGTTAAAGAGGCCGAATTTTTTTTTTTTTTTTTAACCAATTACAGAGTGCGATTCATTGTAGGCTGGTATGCACACAAATGTATAATAAAAGATTTTGTTGAAATAACCGGCAGATTAAATGGTTCTTTTCACAGGTTGGCGTTCAAGGAAATAAAGGCAAAAATGGATGTGCTGAGCCTCGTCATTTCCAATTAAATCAGCTTAATTCGCCCATTCAGTGGTAAATTTTATTCGCAGTGTGATGGATTGTACTGTTGTCACACTCTTAACTCCACTCAAAATATGTGTGTGTGTGTGTGTGTGTGCATGTGTGCTATACAGCGTCACCGGATGACATTATGTTATCCAAGTCCCATGTGGCTCGGTCACAGTGGGTGCACCAGGTTGAGGCTGGTGTGCACTTTGACCCCCACTGAGGTGTGAAGTGCTTTGTGAAGTAAAGGAAGAAGACAAAACCACGACACACACACACACACACACACACACACACACACCCTCAGCTGACAGGCCACAGCTCGCAGTTACACACATGCTGTTGACAAGCCCTCACCTGGATCCCGAGTCAGGTCCCTGGGGGGAGCAGTGAAAGTGCAGGGATACATCTGAGACAGGTGACCCAGTTCACTGAGGTTTTCTCACCTTTCACTCACCCCTCCGCTCACCCCGCTTTTTGGAGGCACAGCGTCTGGAGTGTGTGGCATTTTTAATTTTGTCACTTTGAGCTGAGGTTGTGGGCTGGCAGGTTATTTTGTTAGTCTGCTGTTGTGCCTATACAACACGTTTCCCTAAAATTGAGTCCTCTAATCACAATGGTAACACTTTATAATAAACAATGAAACAATAGTGTTAATTAAATATTAGTAATGCTATGATTTATGTTATTTTAACAGTTGTTCTTGTTTCAAATGTTACAGTATTTTCTATACTATATTGAGTATTTATTAATGGTTAATAATTGGTTTGTAAAGCATCTATAAACATTATTTGGATGACTATCAAAGTTGCAACTGATGGTTTTAACACCTTGTTAAATGGTTAATAAATACTGTGTAGTGCATCTATTAACATTGGAACTTATGTATAATATGGCCACCGATATAATATTTATAGATTTTCAGTGTTTATTTACCATTTAGTAAAGCATTATAATCATCCGTTGCAACTTTATAATAGCTATCCGATGTTTATAGACGCTTTATAAACCAATTACTAACCATTAACAAATATTTAACATAGTGTATAACATGTTAAATAACAATAAACTCTTAAAATGCTTGAAATTATAACATTACATGTAGTATTGTAATGGTAACACTTAATTATCATCAACTATCATCAATAAATAGTTAGTTGATGGTTAATTAAGCTTCAGTTAATAGTTATTTAACTGTTAACAATAATAAAAATATAATTAATAATGTTTAATAATTATTATTGTTAGTAGTTTTACTGTTATCATGTTAATTCTTCTTCTTCATGTTGTTTCCACCTCCACCTAAGTAAAATATATGCAGAATTTAATACTAGATGAGATTTAATACATATTTTAAACACATCCGTAATCTCAGTTCCAGCTGAAGCGTTTCAATATCACAGTGTGATGATCAATAGTGCCCAGGCTCCAGCGCCTCAGCCAGGTGCATGGCCACTTCTGTCCAGGGGGAGGTGCTCCGCCCCTGGGGGTATCCTCTGTGCTGGACCTCCACAATGTCCTGTGGCTCAAAGTACCAAGGGGAAGCGATCCTGGAGGGGAAGGCTCTGGGGAACAACACCCTCTCCAGGACATCCAGAGGCACATCAGGGGCCGGGCGACGTGTGCTGTCCCACTTGGTGGAGTATTGAGGCTGCCTGCTGCTGTGGCCCCTCCACACCGTGACATTACCCCTGAGGTCTGGCTCTCTGGGAGGTTTCTCTGGCTGGAGGCCCATGAAGATGGTCCAGGGTCTGGACGATGAGGCTGGAGGTGGCTTAGTGGAGGTGCTGGTGTCCTCCAGAGGACCTTCTGGCTGGTGCTTCAATGGGTGCTTGGCATGTTTTGGGTTAGAAGTGTTCTGATCTGATGAGAGGCACTGGGTGTGGTACTGGCTCACCAAGACTCTGGGGGAGAAATCCTTTAGGAGAGGAAAACCTTTATTCTTCACCCACTCTGCCACCTTCACATCAATAAGCGTCTGAAAATGGACACAGAAAAGTGTGATTAGATTTTTGATATGTTTGAAAAATGCTGCAAATATTATATAGCATGACAAGAAAATCAAAAACACTGAATAAGATTTCACTGGTAAAAAAACAACAAAAAAACAGATGTTAAAAGTTTAAATCTTGCAGTTAGAACTAATGTTTCATTTGAGAGTTCATTTGTAACCGGACTGAGTCCACCTCTTCAAGAAGGTCTATGGAGTTAGCATTGTTAGCTGCTAGCCACCAGCAAAGCCACCTCCATGCTGAGAACCATGTACAGATCACTTATATGCTCTGAACTTCACACAGAGCCCCTTCACATCTCATTTTTACACAGTTTTGTTTTGTGTCCGTACTTCCACGTAGTATACAGAGTGCACCCCTAGTGTTCAACGCAAGAAAATGTATCTCATTGGCTCACAGGCTGATTGTTGTGGCGTCTGCAGAGATGCAGATGTTCTGCCGGACCATCGTGGTGAAGAGGGAGCTGGTCCTGAAGGCCAAGCTTTCAATTTACTGGTCCATCTACATCCCAACCCTCACCTATGGTCATGAGCTCTGGGTAGTGACTGAAAAAATGAGATTGCAGATACAAGCAGCCGAAATGAGTTTCCGCCGTGGGGTGGCTGGGCTCAGCCTTAGAGATAAGGTAAGGAGCTCGGACATCCGGAGGGAGTTTGGAGTAGAGCCGCTGCTCCTTTACATCGAGAGGTTGAAGTGGTTCGAGCATCTTATCAGGATGCCTCCTGGGTGGAGGAATGGAGGTGTTCCGGGCATATCCAAAAGATAGGAGATCCCGGGGCAGACCCAGAACATGCTGGAGGGATCATATATCTCATCTGGCCTGGGAACGCCCAGGCCGATGAAAATGGATGGATAGATAGATGGATGGATGGATGGATGGCCTGTTATGTGTGCAGCCAGTCTACAGACAAGATATGTAATCCCCTCAGCATGTTCTGGGTCTGCCCCGGGGCCTCCTACCAGTGGGACGTGCCCAAAACACCTCTAATGAGAGGTGCCCAGGAGGAACCCTGATCAGATGCCCAAACCACCTCAACTGACCCCTTTTGACATGAAGGAGCAGCGGCTCTACTCCGAGCGCCTTCCGAATGTCAGAGCTCCTCACCCTATCTCTAAGGCTGAGTCCAGACACCTCACAGAGGAAACTCATTTTGGCCACTTGCATCTGCAACCTCATTCTTTCGGTCACTACCCAGAGCTCATGACCACAGGTGAATTTTGGGACGTAGATGGACCAGTAAATCGAAAGCTTTGCCTTCTGGCTCAGCTCCCTCTTCACCACAAAAGTCCTTCTTTATCAGAATACAAAAAAAGTGTTATAATATGTGAATGTTTTCCTGATTTTATCACAGTTTGGGAGTTATCTGAGCGTTCCACAACATACCTACTAACCTTTTTATTGAGATCATTCAGTTTGACCATATCCACGAGATCACTGTATAAAGTTTGAACTAGCCTCCTCTCCTTCATTTCTTTATTCTTATGTGTCTGCCACAGGCAGTTCTTCAGATACCTGCACAAAAACACAACAAGTCTGTTTAAGAGAACAAGTCAATTTTACCTGAAACAGTTTAACTTACCTTTTTTCTTAAGTGTGATTTATTCTTAAAGCTCGTTACCTTGCTACATCCCTGTGGCACCAGATGCGGGCCAAATCCAGTGGGGTGTGTCCCATGCTGTCCTGGGCCAACACGTCTGCTCCGGCCTGCACGAGGCTCTCTGTGCAGTCCAGGAGGCCTTCAGAGGCAGCCAGGTGCAGTGGGGTCGTCCCTGAATCTGTGGTGCTGGTTTTAAGAAAAAAATATACTTAAAACTCTGTCTTCTCAGCTTCATCATTATTTCCAGTGTCATCATCATTGCTGCTGTTATCATCATCATCATCATTACTTTTTCCCATCATAATCATCATCATTACCATAATACCGTCATTATCGCTTCCAACAGCAGCTATAAACTTTCATCATCATCTCATTTTAATCAGAATTTTGCTTTTCGCCACTGGATCCAGCTGACAGAAGTTATAAATGGGTGCTTGATAGAAAATAAAGCTTCCAAAAACTTGCACAAAGCAGTCATTCACAAAATCAGGCCCCTACACATTGACGTCAGCCCCGTGCTCCAGCAGGTATCTGAGGCACCAGAAGGTGTTGGGTGAGCTCCGGGGAGACAGGACCATGTGAACAGGCCGGCGACCCTGGAGATCACTGCTGTCGATCCACCCCAGCCTGGACTCCACCAGGAGCTGAACAGCAGCCAGCTGGCCGTGAAGGCAGGCCACGTGGAGCGCTGACAAACCCTGGAGAGTAAAACACAAGTCATCCATACAGTTATATATGTTTTCTCACTGACACAGCTGAAATACAGAGGAGCCATCAGTATTTCTTACATCTGACAAGCAACGAAAGGTGGACATGAAGTTCATTTAGTAATGTGCTGCACCAGTTAATTTTTAAAGGCAATTTATTTGACTATTTCTACTTTGTGAAAGTGTGTGCTTTTAATGAATTCACTTTAGAGGGAAGTGTTGATAGGTCAACCATTTCTCTGAAAGCAGCAGCTACTTACAGATTATGGTTTACCCTTGTTCATTTGATTGCATTCTTATTTTTCTATAACACCCAAAATGGTAAAATTAGATTCAGGCCTACAGGATAACACATCAATAATCACATCACGGCACCTTTCCTCTCTGTGAGTAAATACTTTTTAAATCAACTTTTTAATGCTGACTTTTTACTTTTATTGGTGTAGACAATATTTGCATTTGGTATTTGGTTGGAGTGGGGTATTTTATTTGACCATCACTTCACTCCCCTCTGCATTATGCCACAGGAGTGGACAAGCATCTACCATCTGTTACCATACTGTGATGTTAATGAGCCTACCTGAATGTTCACACTGACATCCGGCTTCTCTGGACTCCCACCACCAACAGCTGGAAACATGTGTCCGTCAGGGAGAGCTTTGGAAGAAAGTTTCCTACAAAATGACACCACACAGAAATGATGCCTGTAAATACCAGTCTGTTGATACCTTATAGCACAAGAGCGATTGAAGCTAACTTACACCAAATTGGAAATATTTCAGACTACAGTCATGTGACGTTTAAAATGGCCCATACATCAAACTAAAGCGCTCAAAGCGACTCATGTATAAAGATTTATATCCAAGCACAGAAATATAAGCTGCAAACTTAGATATTGTTAAAGTTATTTACCTGTTTTTACATCTCCCACGTCTCCGTTTTCCGGGTTTGTTGACAGCTTCCATGGTTGCCGTGGAAACGTAGTAACTAGGACACGAACTCTGGTTTATGACAACTCAGTCACATGCAAACTGCATGCAGTTTGTATAGATGTTACCACTACGTCACATCTTTTTAGAAAATATTATTATTAAAGTTCAGAAACCGGATGTAATAGTTTTAGAATTGCATTTCTTAAACATTTTTTTATTTTGGAAAAAAAAAAACCTATATTGAATTTCAACAACAAATACAACCATCAGAAATAATAAACACGTTAAATATATAAAAGAACAATAGCAATTCAAAAACAAAAGAGGTAACATACAATAAAAGTGCAGGGCAGTACAATAATAAAGTATTACATTTAAATGTCTGGGGTATCGGGAAACAACACTGCGCATGCCCAAAAGTGATTACCTGTCAGCTGCTGCAATGTGATTGGCTGTTTTCCACGTAACGTTGGCAGCCGTTATGTCTTTTAGTAACTGCGTCACAGTGAACGGTTTTGACTGTCGTGTTGTAGAAATTTAAAACTCTGCCTTTTTAAGTAAAACTTGAGATTAAACACTTCGGTGCCCACCCGCCGTGGGATATTATTGTAACCCAAACATTTGGTAATTTTTTTTATTTTTTTATTTTTTAACATGAAGTGGTTTTCTGGGACAAATGGCTAACGCTAACGTTAGCTGCTAGCTTGTCAGAGACAGAGAAGACGCCTTTCTTGCTTCTAGGTGATGGTAAGTGGTCAAGAACAGACTTTAAGGATTTCCAGCATCTTTCTGAGAGGATTACTAAACATGGAAGCAACAGAACAACCTGGTAAAGTCGGGTTAGCTTGGCAGAGCTAACAGCTAACTAGCCTAATTGATAGCGCATTCAAACGGGGAATGGAGTGGTACGTTACCTGACGTAATGACAGCGGGGCGAGGAGAACAGGTATGTCACCTGTGTAAACTGTGTAAAATATGTAAAAATGTAAAATAGCGCATTATGTCAAATTATAAAATTGTGTAGTTTTCTAGTCATCTGTGTAAACTAAAGTAGTAGTAGTTGTTGTACCACCGTTTTACTACCTAAAAGTTCTTTACTGTTGAGTCATGCTAGACCAGCTCCAATACTAATTATTTGGCTTCTTTTCTTTAAGGAACTTTATGTTTATTTCAATAACAAAGACAAGTAACATTATCAGAAATAATAATAAATGAGTTTTATATAAAATAACAATGCTAATACCAAGGCAAAAGGGGCAACACACAATAAAAGTGCATGGCAGTGCTACTCTTTGTCTGTAATAGTAAATTATTTCGACAGAAATGTCCTTCAATCCGTGTTATATCCTCCTGAGACATAAAACTTTTGTTTGGTTTGCATTTGTAATTTCTCCTAGCTATTTGGGATTAGTAGGACCCGATAAGTTTAAAAATTAAACATTGTTAAAAGTCCCAATGTCCTCACATGAGATGATAATAAAGTCCCAATGTCCTTCAACGAGCTGATGATGAATTCCCAATGTCTTCAAATAAGTGCTTTGTAATTAACAGCGTCTTAGCATGTTACTGTTGTTTATCAAGCTACAAACATCATTAATCATGAATACATACAATTCAACCATTGAATCCGATTCAGGATTTGTATCTTGTCTACTTTCGTGTCAGGGTTGGCTGCAGACTGATTAAGCAGAAATGGCTGCCATCTTGTTTTTACATGAATTAGCGCTTTGAGGTCTTCGTTCCACTAGATGGCACAAAAAGTGTCCACGAACAAGACCAACAGGCCTAAGTTAAGCAGAATGAAGTAGAAGGTCCTGTAAACCCAAAATGTGATGTCTTCATATGAGGACACAGGGTCTCAGGAGGATATGTCCAGAATGTGCCAGTGAAGGCGCTGTTTTTTGTCCATAGTTATCTTCCTCTGGAAATCTGAGAGTATATGTTTAACAAGCATATCGCAGTCAATGACAGTTTGTTGTATGTCCATTGCACATCTGGTGTTCCACAGTTTGAAAGAAACAGTACTGACAATGAGTTGAAATAGTTCATTATGTTTTGGGGGCATCTTCTCTTCAAAGAGTCTATACATCATAGAGTTATCACACTTGTTAAAATTTACATCCAGACCTTTTAAAATGAGCCAAACTTCTTGTGCACTACAACAGTCGATTAAAAGGGGTTGTTTGGTTTCAGGCATGTTGCAATGAATTATTGGGCATTCCTTGGTAGTGACATCACGGCTCCAAGACTTTACAGCTCTCACTGGGAGTCTTGTTTTCCCTCTTTCTATCTCGTTGTAATATAACTGAAAATTAAGTGTGTTTCGCTTTTTAAATAATTGAGCAAACAGGGGCCTGCAATTGCTCAAATTACAAGAAAAATACTGGGGAAAACAGCTCAGAAACTGTAGAGACTGCCCCCTGTATACAAGAGTATTTTTTATTCAGCAGCCACGCCCATGTTTTGTAGATGCTGCCTTCATCAGCATGCAATTGCTTGCTGTTCTTCCGTCTCTTAAGGCGAAAAGAAAAGCCCACTTCCTTATACAGCATATTCAGTAACACCTGTTGGGTGTGAGTCAATGTAATAGATTGTGACAGATATGGGCAGATGAGTGGCTGCAGGCATGGCAGAAATGGATATGTCCACCCTCCCATGTAGTCCACAGCTCTCTCCTCATACATCCCTGGTGTGCTTGTATTGACAGTGCATTAGGATTGGCAGCTTGCACTTGGCCTGAGTAAAGCAGATCAATCCTGCCAATGCTATGGAGGCCTCAGAGTGGCAGCTTGTGACACCGCACCCCGGACCTGCCGTCATGCGTGAGGCCGATATGAATTGGAGCAGTTATATTCTCCATGTCTCTGTGGGGCTTAGAGATCGATGGTCTCATCGGGCTGCGGGCCTCTCTGATCACTGCTATTGACCACTTGATCTCTGATTGGACTGAGTGTAGGCACATGTGAACTATGGAGAACAATGTGTGTCATGGCAGATAAATTATAGGTTAGGTTTAGCATGGATTTGCAGTATTTATTTTTTCACAAAATTAAACAAGACAGAGTCAGAATTTGGGGGATCAAAACATTTACAACCACCAGACTCACTTAAATCTAGTTTATGATGGGTTTAAAAAAAATACTCTACCTGCAAATTGATCATTTGTGTAACAATTATTCACCCCATGTTATGTTGAATTAATGAAAGAATTTATTTTTTTTTTACATGCCTCCATGATCCACGAAGAATCCAAAAAAGGGGAGAAAAATTCTTGATGAGTTGAAGTAATTGGTGACCACATTTATCAACAGCAAAACTATATCAAAATTTGCGTTTACAAATGTTTATGCTCAGTACATCCCAAACACGAGTTTTCACCAAAACTGTAGAGACCTGAGACTTCGATTATTCTGCACAGGTTTTGAAAGAGTTTGAAAAGGGATGTTTTGATTTAGTTTTACTGTTGTTAAACGCAGTCGCTGTGTACGTCAGTTCATGAAGAATTCACATCATGGGGTGTCAGTGGCTTAGTGGTAGAGCAGGCGCCCCATGTACAAGGTTGATGTGGCAGCGGCCCGAGTTTGACTCCAGCCTGTGGCCCTTTGCTGCATGTCTCTCCCTCTCTTTTTCTCCCCCCCTTCACACTTCACTATCCTATCAATTAAAGGCAGAAAAATGCCCTAAAAAATATCTTTTAAAAAAAATATTCACATCGTTTTTTGGATTCTCCTTTCATCGTGAAGGCATGAAAAAAAAAAGTTCCTTCATGAATTCAACATAACATGCGGTGAATAATTGATACGCAATAGTCATTGTGCAAGTGAAGATTTCTTTTAAGGTTACCTATTTTTGGGGGCTTTGCTTGTTTTTTTTTCATACATTTGCTCAGTTTTCTGTGAAATAGTAAATCCTAGATAGTGGAAAGTCGAACCTCACATTGTTGCTAAAATTAAACTCAAAATTTTACCCGTTCTATCTATGCAGCTTCAAACTTTCTTAACCCAAATTTAAATTCTGAAATTAAATTATTCTTTTAATATTTAAATTTGCCATTTGGATGCCCCCATTTATTTTGTTTTATAAGTAAGTGAAAATATCTATTATTGAATTATTGAATTTACCTAAACAAAGCAAAAAACATAAAAGTACAAAACTTGAAATAAAATGAAAAGGAACAAATGAAAAGCAAAAAAACTGGATCCCATATATACTGAATAGTGGTGATGGAAACATCTACAGTTACAATACAACATCCACCGTCATTACCACTCTTATCACCTCTTAAATTAGCTTTTTTTCCCTTCTTTATCTTTAGTTCGTCCAAATTTTTAACCATGGTGTCTAATTTCCAGCTCTTAAAAAAAAAAAAGAATTACCATGAAAATCATAACGCCCCTACTCCTTTTAACTGGCGGAAAACTCTGCTGCTTTTCTGCAGCTAAATATTGTCATCCATTTCTAATTTATGACTTCCCCCTTTTATTCTCTGTCAATCTCTCCCACTCAGAGCTGTCAAGGTCCATTGGAGGGTCAAGGACGGGCCATGAACCTCTGGCTTTCCGCTCTGAGCGCCAGCCCTCCAGAGCCTTTGCCTTTATCACAGCCACACTGCTACTTTGATGACAAATGCATGTGTGTGCACACAGGAAAAAGTGAGTACAAGTAAACTGTGTGTGTGTGTGTGTGTGTGTGTGTGTGTGTGCGTGCGTGCGTGCACGCACATGAATGTGTATACAGTTGATGTGTTTGTATACGGGTTAATAGTAAGAGCACAGCCCCGCCACAGCCTCAGCGGCTTCCTTTGACCTCGGTCACATGTCATGGAGGTTGTACAGAGCCTTCGGTGTAGAGCTCTTTCATGTTTGACTTTCAGCCCAAGTCCCTGGACGGCGACCCCCGACATGACCTCTTTCTTATGACAGTTGAGTGTGTGTGTGTGTGTTTGACTGTCCATGTACTGTTAAATTCAGTCTGTATGAGAGTGTATGTGCCTTAAAATCCTAAAAGCTTTCTGCCATATGACATCTGTAGCA